ATGATGGGCGGAGGGCTGGCGGAATGACGCAGGGGAGGCCTCGAGGAGAAAGAGGCTTCTTGGAAAGGACGTTTATAAATCACGAATCGCAGGCAACCCCTAATCTTCCACCCTGTTCGAGCCGCGCTGTCTTCCTCTCGTACTTTTCTTCCCCATTCCACTCGTATTTTGGTTTTGCACGCGAAACCACCATCACTCCTCCATTCATCATCCGACGGCGAGCGGCGTTCTCTCTTTCTGTTTCCGCTTTTCCAACCCCTCTCAGCGTCCCCCATGGACGCGCCCGATGAAATTCGCCCCGAATCACAGGACAATTAACGTCACGGCGTGCAGCTACGTGAAATAAAGGAGGTTCGAGCGATCCTACGATCACGTCTGTTGCCGCGTGAACGATAATAGGATATCTTCATGGTTCGCGAGCAACGGCTAGTAACACTAGGATTTCACATGTAAGCGTCAGGTGCGCCATCTATACGTACATTTGATAAAAGCGACCCAGCCAGATCGTAAAATCGGTCACTTAACGTTTACAATTTTCCGTGACGTTATATTCGCAACCATTAAGTCTGATTCACACTAGCGGCCAAAGGTGCGGTCACAGGTCACGATCAATCAAAATGTAGGATTTGACCGAGGCATTCACACTGAACGATCAGAAGCAATCAAATCTCGTCACCAGTCGCTCTCGTCTTTATTCGTTCGCTCGCACGAGGAACAAACGAAACTCGCGTTAATCTTTTACGAGGATGCATAAGATGGCGAATGAGATACGTTTGCGGTAGTAATGCGATGAGTGGAAATGATAAATGGAAGTAATTGCGATAGCTGCGTGGCTGTAGAAGTTTTCAGGTCATTCTTCTCTATTTCTATCCACCGTTTCATCTTGTCAGATGTGTCGTAATATTTTTTGCCACTGAGATCATGTAGTTCGCTGCAATTTCCTACAAATTCGATTAGACGCTCGTTCTCCGTGCTCCTTTCCGACTGTCGACGGTGATCTTGATCCGGCGCCGTGGTCAACAGATTTTCATTCGACTCGATCGAACCGCCTGCTGCGGATGCTCTCGTTGGATTGCGTGCAAGTGATTTTGACCGGTGCTTGACTTGGCGTAATCTTACCGTACCGTGATCGCTGGTGTGAATCTAGCTTTAATCCTTAACGGTAGAGAGGCTCCGCTATGGGCACATCATACTCGTATATACCATAGAAAACGAATGACTTCACACATGAAGGGAGCATATGAAGAATTTCTATTTTTATTTCCATTCATCGTCATGTTGTATTCTGTTCGACGGTCGCGCGTGTTTTGTGTTTTGCGCCAACGCAAACCAATAACGTGGCGTCTTACCTTATACTTTACCATTTTACCTTCGTGCGAAGGGGCATCACGAGGAGACCGGCAGATATAATTTTTGTAAGGCGTTTGAATATTTTTGTAACGCCAAAGCTACACATTTCTTATTCGCCGTTCAACGTTTTATTAACTCTAAGAGATCGATAAGCGAATGAAATATTCATATCAACTCACGATATAAACCAATTATTAGAAACATTGTAGCATCCGGATATTTTTGCGACAGATTATATTTGAGGAAGATTATCTGCTTGTAAAAAGGAATAAAAATATTATAATCCGTTTCTATTTTTATTCCAGAAGCTGCAATTTTATGACTCGTCATTGTGCGACGTATACAGATGATCTTTTAGTTATGGCTAGATTAATAGATCTACCTATGACTAGATTAATTGCTTCTGATCAATTCTACATGACGCTGTTGTGAAAAATTGTAAACTTCGATCGCTGGCCGATATTACCACTATCGCTGTCTTCGTACGTTCACTGCTTCCAGCTAAACGCAACGGTTACACGACCAGATGGGATTTTCTATAAGCATCAATTGTATCTGTCTGGATATACAGTTACTCATGAAAATACTCAAACACTTGCCACAGATTTTTACGAATATATTATGAGTGTTATATAAATCCTTCTGAAATTTCAATTGCTTCGTAACGAGACACTACTGGCATGACTACGATGGAAAAGGCAGTTTCGGTATTTGATACGCGATTGCTCGATAAGATGTTGGATTTTAAAACTGCTCAACTTCTTGTACGAAAAACATGAAATACGACATATCCCGTCTTTGTTCCGTGGTCTTCGTACATTTTTATATATTCATATATATTTCATATTTTATATATTCGTACGTATCATATATCTTGAGATATCTCCTTAATTGTTCTTTTATCGTTGGTCTTATGAATAATAATCATAAACAGAGACGTGGGTTCTATTATTCGAAGATTCCCTCGTACCAACAGTTAGGCGTGTCTCATTAATTCGGATACTGGAGGTTCCACAGTACTATAAATACGTCAAATTATAAATGCGTGTATATAACACACTGTATCTGACATATTAGGATAGAAAGAGAATGGAATCTTATAGGAAATGCCATCATAACGATTCGTTCGTTCGCCCGCGGAAGAACCGGCCATGATTCATAAGAAATTGGCCTCTGGAATGAAGAGAACGATCGGAGGGGAAGCATTAGGATTAATTGGTACGAAGAATGGGAATTAAGGCAGGAATCGACGAACGTAGAAGGTTCCGTGAAGCTCCTTCACAGAAGATTAATCGCACGGAATATTTGGCCGAGGCAAGGGAAACGGAGGAAATTAGATGATTGTTGATTATGTTTAATGAATTTTGATCCTTCTTTCTTGCTATCGATCTAGCGTAGCCGAATTTCTATAGCTGCCAGAGAAACGAATGTAAATTGCGCTCAAAGGCAAACGTATCATTAAGACGAAAGCGATTTGTACGATCGTCAAGATGAATTTAACTGTTTCGAGTATTAGTCGGCTGTTGCACGAAATTTCATTACGCTCGTTGATTACGTTTAATGAATTCTAATCCTTCTTTCTTGCTATCGATTTAGCGTAGTCGAATTTCTGTAGTTGGAGGAGAAACGAATGTAAATTGCGCGCAGAGGCAAACCTATCATTAAGACGAAGGTGATTTGTACGATTGCCAAGATGAATTTATAATTGTTTCGAGTATTAGTCGATCGTTGCACGAAACTCCATTATGTTCGTATCACGGTGTTTCTCAAGAGTTCACGATTGAGAAAGAAAAGGTTCACCGGCAAGCCTAAATTCACTTTGTTAAAGAAGGTATAATAAATATTCGCACTCTCGCGAATCGGTCATTCGATGATATTCATATTAACAAAATACACAGGATGTTAATACTTTTACGTGATTTTCTATATGAAATATTTTACGTTATCGCGTTGCAAAATTGATTTCCATCGCGAATCGTCTTCTTATTAATTCCACGTATATCTCGTTGCGTTGTATTCGTTTACAATATATTGCTGCTGTAATCGTAGTAGCGAGATACAGAAAACAATAATGGATTGATCCAGCAGATGTCCAGCAAATCAAAGTCGTCATTATCTCGTTTGGATGTACATTGTACGTACTACATGTTGCGTATGCTTTACATGTTCATCTTTATCATGCCATTGTTCCAAGTATCTCGTTACCATACAAGATCCAATTTTCGCCGCGAATAGCAATAAGTTTGAAGAACAGATCCTGTTCATTTCTTTCAAGTAACGAGCTGGCTATCTCCATTCCCCTAAGCTTCTTATCTATTTTCTTTAGCCTCCCTATATGAGACAAGTGATAGAATGACTTACCTTCGTTTGAACGGCCATTTGTCAGTCATATATTATTCTCGTTGCCTGCTACGTATTATTTTCAGTAATATTTCTTAGAACGTTGTTATCGATGGCGTGTCACAGCCCTTCTTTCGTCTCATTTTCAAACAAGAAACCATCGTATTTCTGAAGCTACCAAATCAGAAAATCTCTCGGTTAATCGTATTCCTGCCAGTTTCTCTCTAGTCTCTTCGATCGTATACTTTTTCATACACGAAGTACCTGCTATTACGGATAGCAAAACCGCAGTTGCTATTGAACGTAACGATCGAACATTTCGAAAGAAGCGTTTCAACGTTGGCGTCCCACCGCCAACAGAGACGAATTGGTAACGAGGAGACAAATCGAAACTGACGCAGATTTCACGAAACCTAAGCGTCATTACATATCGCAACGTGTTTCGCAAACGCGTAAACATTGCTATAAAATATTTTCATAGGGATTTACGAGTCGGCCGGAGTACAAGGGACGCCCTGATAAACCTAAATTCGATGCATCACACGTAAGAGAAGCTCGAACGCGTAATAAATCCTCGTTGAGACTTATTGTTCCTCGGGGCCCCATGGCGCGGCAAAGAAAACAAGCAAGAAGAAAATCTTTATAATAGAGTAAAATGATCCTCCTTGCTCCGCTCCCATTCTTCTCCGCGCGTACGTACATCTCGGCTGGTAACCTATTTGTTTCTCATTAACGGACCTACATTAATCTTTCGATTCCTCCGGAGGCCCCGTGAACAAACGTGAGAACATCGGGGCTGCTTGTTACCGAACGATTCATGGCAGCTTCGACAGAACCAAGCTTTTAGACCTCCGTTTAAATTACTTCACACAGGTATCCGGTATACAGTATACTCGCAAGCATAACTTATCTCGTAACTGATTAACGACTATAATAAGCTTCCCATAAAAATTGGAAGCTTTCGTTTCGTCGATGAAGTTTAATTACCAAATCGTAGCTTTTGGATGAAACGCGGTTCAGATCGTAGCTTTTTTACGTTATTAAATATACTGGATTTATAATCGTTGTAATTAATGTCACGTAATTTTTTACGCTACTGTACCAGCTATAGTTTAGATAGATAGATTCTTTGATTAGGAGATGTTTTAGATTTCTTCGACTATTATTTAGATCTTCCGACGTAAATTATTGCGCGCAAAAGTTCAATGGTCAAACAGATTTTTCATTTTATATTCTAGGAGCGATATCTTAAAGAAGTTTAACCAATATCACGCATCCTTTTTAAATATCGTTTCTGGAATACAAAGCGAGAAATCTATTTGGAGACTTCTAGATATAGCAAAAGTTTCTCGATTATAGCCTAGACGATAGTCTCTTACATTAAAGTTCCTTCTTTCGTCTAAATTATTCTAGAGAAAAGCTGTAATATTTTCTTCACATCCGCGTTGGATAAAGTTTGAACGTCGAACGGACGTATGTCGTTCCGCCAGAGAATTTTGCGCGTGCTTAAGATAAAATCTAGACGTAAGAAGCGATTAAGAAATTGTATTGTTACTTACAACCACTTGATGCACCTGCCGTCGTGAATCAGCAACAGGAACAAGAGCAGCCAAGCTTTAGCACCGCTTCTCTTCGTTGCCGTCATCTTCATGCACTTTACATTCTAAAAGACTGGCATTCGTTCCGCTGCTTCGCGCATTAGAACTGCTCTATCAATTGTCCAATGTTCGACGACTGTCCTGGCACGCGCGCTCTTTCAGGGACCACTGTGTTTCTCTCGATGATCGGTGGATATCGTAACGTAGAACCGCGGTATCTTTGGCGTATCCATCTTCGACGAAGCCAATGAAAAAATACTCCAAGATCTCGGATCAATGCAATCGGCGTAACCGAACTTCGCTTCCGATTATTCCGCTCTCGATGTAACTCTGTTAAACGCTACTCTAAATTGAAAAAAATGTTAAAGAGAAAGAACAATGAGAACTGGTTCGAAGATACAGCCAGAGATACCGGGGGGAAAAGGGCAGCGCGTCCGAAGGAAGATATAAATTCCAAGTCGGGAAACACTGTACTTAATTGCAGTTGTCGATGGGACGATAAAGCAGTCGCTTAGAAATCACACACGCGAGGCCCTGATTTATCACGGCTGATCACCGCGTGCGGTGCAATTATCGTCGAGCCTTTTTCTCTGTTTTTCTTTTTTTTTTCTTTTATTTTTTTCCTTCTCGAAGCGAGCTTTCCCACCGGCGAACAACGTACCGTGAGCACACTTGGCGAAGCTAAGCGGGAAGCGAAGGAGGCCGAGTGTAGCAAAACAACAACCGGCACGTCCACTGTCACTCGACGATTGATCGGAGGATGATCAATGGAGGCAGCGGAGCAGACGTCAACGCGCGGTATCCTGAATGATCTGCGACCGATACGGTCCCCTATCGGGTGAGTTCCTTCGCGCCGTCCCGTGCTGCAGGGAGTCTGCGTGGTTACAGGTGTCCGTCGAGCCGTCCCGCAGGATTTGCCGGTCGCCGTGGAGGTGGAATCCTCCTACTCTACTCTATTTCCTCCTACTTCACCTACTCGGTTTTCGTTGGACGAGGAACCGGCCACAGGGATGGCGATCACGGTATGAACGCGGCCACGCGAACAAGGGAGGAGGCGAGAAACTGGTCAAAGATCGCGTCCACTTGGCCCGAGAAGATCCGTTGGACAAAAATCGGGAAAGTCGTTCTTCCATGTCCGATCCGATGATACGTCGTGACCGTGTCCGGATATCTAAAACGACACAACGTTCGTCGACGTAAGATTCTCAGGAATATCACCGACTCGTTCGTTCGACTCTCGTTTTTGCTGGAACGAACAACGAGCTTCTGGAATGGAACGTCGATGGTCTGAGGATTCGATACGAGTTCCTCCTGCTGTTTGTAAATGCGCGCTATCCGAAAGTCTCTTTTCTCGAAGAAATCAATTCTAAGGGATTCTCTTACTTAAACTAGTTGGATATCGTTTACATAAACAGGTGTAATACGTGAAATTGCGGAACAATTTATATCTATTAATAAGAAGCTACGTTTCGCTGAACCACCAATCCAAACTAATCTAGAAGCCGTCGCGAAAAGAGCAAGTTATTCTCACCACACTCGGAACCGGACAACTGTCGTTTAATATTCCTATTTGTTGTAAAAAGATCATTATTTGCCTGTACTCTTTTGCTCTTTCTACTCTTCTGATCTTCGATAGTTGGAGGACATTCCTGCGTCACACGCTTGATAGTTATTTTTACACTACGACTACTGCAGACAGATTTATCAATTTTTGTAATTATATTCTATCTCGTAATTATGCTTATGCAATGTACATAATTGCTAAGTCAATTTGGCGCGCCCTATTCTCGATTTCGTAAGGATGGTTTAACCTACTATTAAAATATCGTGACGCGCGATTTTACACTTTCAAATTCCCTATAAACGCATCAAAATCCGCAATTTAACGATGCAGGTGTCCAACGATGCTTATATCCCAATACCATTTTAACGCTAGAATAATTACATAGCCTTTAACATGCAGCTAAATGTCTTACGTCTATATATAAATTGATATTAATTCATACCTGATGATAATAGAGGCAAAGAAATTACCATTAGTGGAGGATCCTTACTATTTTGGGACAGTCGCATAATTGTCATTTCTGCACTGCCCTAGATTCGTTCTTTGTACGTGAACAACTTTATGATTCACTGTATATCTATTTGTTTCCATCCTGCCACTTTAATTCTGATCATCTGCGTATGACATATTTAGGCAAACATCGCAGGTCAGTAGATCTAGTGTCAAGAAACGATTGTATTCTTCGAGGCATTTTATGCATGTACACTGTACACTACCGCTCAAAAGTTTCCAGTCGCTTCTATTTTCTCGATGCGGATTTTCACGCAAATTTACATTTCTATGGACGCGCTAAAGAAATAGAATTTAAATAGAAATTTGTTTGTCACGTCGAAGATTATATAACGAATGCTCTGCTTTCAATATTTTTAATATTTCTGCATATAAATGCACATAAATGCGTACCAATCCGCAGTCCGTTTACTTTCGTCCTTACTGGCTGATAAACAAGTATATTTATGCACTTTTTCATTAGCCTTGTATCGTGACCATTCGCGCTTACCATTTACGGCTAATCATTTCCTTCTGTTCCCTGTTCCTGTTTATCATAATTTTATCGCACGTCGATATTAAAACAAAATGCCAGATATCCCTACGTCAGAAGGACAAGAAGAGAAGTAGGAACAAATATTAATCAAGAACGTAAAAATGAATTACAAACGCAAGCTTCATTCTTATTCTTATACCGTGTATTCTTTTTATTTATTACATATGACACAGGCTCGTGAAAATGTTCAGACACGCGTAGACACCTTTTGCGAATATATTATGCGTGTTACGCGAAGCATATATTTAAGATGTTTCGTTAATCGCCGTGACAGGACTATTGTAACTTCCTTTTACCTGTCGTTTATCGTTGCATCCACTGACAGAGTATCAACGATTACAATTGCACGTGCTCGTTGGCATACCAATATTTGAACAGCATTTACCAGCTTAATTTTCTACAGCTAATTTAATTAGTGTTAATTGGTAAACGATTAGTTAGCTACCAGTTAGCGAGAGAATTAGGACAAAAATAATGCAAATATATTTCACATTGCGTTCTATTGCAGATCAGGTATTTTTAAGTTGCGTCTTGCGCCTTCAAATCTGGTGCACCAGTAACGTAGATGTTCGATAGCGTTACTTTTCGATACACCGTCCCATGCATTTTTTAACTCTCTAAGAAAACGTATCAAGGTACCTGGGAAATGAAACAGCGATCAGTTTAAAAAATACCTTAACTTTAATCTCGTGAAACTCATCCTACGAACGATTTGCGCGACTTTGTGTGATTTTACCTCTACGCTGTGTCTTGTCTTTCGTACACCCCGTACGATGGGATTAACGTCGAAATATCTTTTAAACCAAACAATATTTTCGCATACAAGTACCCTGATAGATTTTTGTAGAGAAAAAAAAGCTGCGTAGGATAGCGTATAAAAAAGAAATATGGTTTCGAGCAAAGATTACCTTGAGATCTCGAAAACGCCTGCACCTAGACAAATCCGGTAGTCACAGTAAGACGTCTCCTCCTTGAAACAGAGCAAATTGCGTTTGAAACACTTTCTCCGACAACGTATACTTTAGCCGACATACTTGCGTGGATCGATTAAAAGCGGACACCCTGTGTGCACTTAATTCACATTTTTTCTACGTTGTCTTAAAGATGGAAATTAATTTTAAAGTCAACACTTTGGAAAATATTTTTGCTACATGTTCACCTACGCCATCGACGATAAAACCACGTCTTATAACAGTAAAATTTTCATAAAGCGAGTAGCGCTACTCTTTACTGCGCTGTTCAAGTGGAGCAGATGCAGAAGAAGACGAAAGTGTCCGGAATTTAGGACAAGTAGTAACTCTCTAATTAAGTATTCTAATATGACTTCCTCGCTCATATTTAAAGTTCCATCAAAACGCTTACTTCACTCTCGACGTAATGATACGTGAAACACACAGGGTGTCTCGTTGTTATCGACCCACAGAAATACCTCCCAAGCGATAGATTAACGGAAAAAGCGTTTCCCTCCCTATTAGACTGTGCCAAATGTTTCTTTCCTCTTACAAGGAAATAACAGACGCGCAACGTTTCTTATTTTCTATTATTTTATCGAATTACGTGCGATCCATTTTGTAGTAATAGAACAAATTAAACATCGTGCAAAATAAAACGATCGATAAGATAACGTAAAAGAAAAATGCGGCGCGTCTATTATTTTCTTAGATAGCGAAAGAAACTTTTCCGACTAGCTGCTGATACATTTTCCTAGCGACGAATAAAATGAAACGCGCAACTTCTCGTTTCGTGGAACGCGATCCTACGATACGAAGTTCGTTTTCTGCGATAAGAGATAGAGCGAAGAAACGCCGTGTTTCCCATTTGCAACATGTGTGCTCTTTACGCGAAGAATGCGGTAAGCCAGGAATCGTAGCAGGCCTGTGTCACAAAGTATCGAACCAATTACGCGTACGATTTGCCAATTAGTTTGGAGGAGAAAGTGGGATCGTATATTTGCCGAGAAGCCCAACTTACCATTGGAAATATCGCACAGAAAGTATCTGGGAAGGTCTAAAGAGCCGGTTCATTCTCCAACAATCATCCGGTTTCTATTTTATCTGAAATTAGCCTCACGCTCTATCGTCCTTCTTGCATTTTCGTTAAATGCGGCGGACTTTTTTCTAATATCTGCTCGTCCGTTTTCGACGATGGGTATATTTCGTTTGGTTTATAATAGAGAGAGAGTCATAATGGATCAGTCGATTCTCCGAATACGAACGTCTCTGCATTGTCAACGTAAATACGCAACACGCTCCGCGGACAGGCTCAGTCGACACACATCGTACACGCTGAAAAATAATTCTCTCGCTGAATGTGACATCTGCGACTGTCGATTAGCCACGTAATCGCACAGTACCCCGTATACTAAGTGTACGTGTAAATATAAGGAAGATTTTCCCATGAAACTGGAAGTTTATCAACCAGTTAGCTGTCGCGACCTCTTCGAAAAGCGTGTACCTACGATAGAATGCGTGGCAAAAAGTAAGCGACGACGAGTATACTCGTCGAACACAGAGTACGCGTGACTGTATAGCATAGAATTAGGCGATACACTTCGATCGTTTCGCGGCTAAGAGTCGCTCGAGCATCGATAATGGCGTATAATAAATCGTCACAAGAGCGTTAATGGTAACTAACAAATGAGGCAATCAATGGTAATGACTGTTCAATTTGTTGATTACTCGAAGTGATTAATTAGGCATGCATACGTATACGAAACTTCATTATGAAATCGTACGATTCGATATCCTTTTTTGCTCGGAAGTATATAGCCATATACAGGGTAGGTCGGTAGGAACTAATATCCGAAATAAGTCGTTGCTTATTAGTTAGTTTTATCGAGAAAGGCACTCTCATCGAACGGATGCGATTTTATTCTCCGATATTTTACACTCTCTGAGATATCAAGCTGAAACTTGAGCTTTTTTCAACGACACCGTATATTTTCTACATATCAATCGGCTCAGCTGGACATTTTTCACGGTACTCGATAAATATTCAAACTCGATTTTCTCGAAAACCAAGCCGAAAACTTGAAAATGTTACTCCACGTTATTTCCTTATTGTTCCAGCAGGAATCACCTCGTGGCCGCTTTTACCTGTTATTCGGCCGGACCCTGTACAAGTTTCATCGCGCGGTAGAGCCGCGTTCGTCCGAACAGGTCGAGAAACAACGCAGTTCCTGTAACGAGCAGATCGGATAGTCGGTATGTACCTTCGACTCTTCTTATCGGTTCGAACGGAGAATTTTGGCGCATCATGCGCCAAGCGCCTCTTCCTAGACGCGTCGAAGCTGGCAGCGCGCTTGCACGTGGCGATCATCGCGAAGCAACGTGCACCTGTCCGCGAAACAGCAACAGCGGAGCGTTCCCGTCACGATGGCTGACGTGGTAGCTGCCCGAAGAATCTAGACGCGTGTCAGAGTTGGGAAAAGATCGGAAGACGCGTTGCGAGGCGACAGCGTTTGCCAGTTTGTCTCGCGATCCAGGACGACGTGACACGCGAATCGGCGGAAGAAGGTTGGCGTTAATTGCGCGAGTACTTTCACTCGGCGCTGTTAAAACGACCGGCGAATCGCGTTGACGCGCAAAGAGACGAAGAGAACGGGTTAAAAGCGGTTTATTGCAGAAGCAGCGCAAAGGATGGCCGCTTCTTTCGTTCCAGATTATTTCCTCCCATTATTCGTCGAAGACGTCTACCATAAAAAGGGGGCAAACAGATCCGGCGACAGCTGCTTGGCTATTAAAAGCGACTTAAACCCCAAACCCTCGGTGCGATCGCAAAAGTTACCTCGCTCGTTCCATCGAGCCCCCTTCTACCGCGTCTCGGCTCCTCTTCGCGATTACGCACAAAGCCAACGCATGTATACCGCTCGACAGACTTTCCTAGCAAATAAGCAAATTGCTAAATGAGCCGTAACGCCAACCCCCGCCACCGCAAAAAAAGAGGAAGAAAGACGAAACTTGCAGAGGCAGCGATCTTTCTTTTCGCAAATTTTACGTTAAAATGCTACTGGTTTTACCGTGCCACGTTTACTTTCTAACGTTTCGCGATCTTTCTTTCGCGATGCATAAGCCGCACCAGCTTTGTTATTCGACGCTAACTTTGCCAGGCCCGCTTTCGAAGTTTAATTTGAAATTGTACATCCATCGTTATTTCGTTTGTTCGTCCAACTTGTGTTTTCGCGATGGATAACTCGAACGAATGATCGAGCTGATGTATCGGATGAAAGAGTGAAATTGTATAACATCGTTTGGTTAATGGTTAGTCATAGCGATCGTGTGCACGTTAAATTGAAACAAATTGAAAGTCGGAAGTTGTGTATCCGCGTGGATGTAGATTAATTAATTCGATACCGATGCAATTAAATTGATATCAAGGTGTTTCGTGAGGACGGCTTCTCATCTGCATAATCTGTATATAATAACATGGGTGAAAAAAAGGAATTAGTCCCCCGGCGATAAACTTTTTACCACCCCATCGCTTGCTTCTCGAATCTAGAGCCTCGTGCACTCGCTTCACTGGCTCTTCTCCCAAACTGTTAAAGCAGCGGATAAATTAGAAAAATACTCTTTCGGCTACTGATACCTCATATGGTTCGTTAGTTATCAGTACCCAATAAATTAGTACCTAATGGCCGTTTCATCCGGTCGATTTTTTATTTAACAAATAAAAACGATGCTTTAACGAACGAAAATTCGACGTATAGAGGCTTCGTACGAAATCGTGATCAAACGTGTAAAGCTGCTTCTCTGTACACGTTGATACGTGTTGCGATGTATCGTTCTTCCGTATAGATCTTTCACGGTTTTCCATACAGATTATCGACCGCTAAGAAGTCGAATTTCATCGTCGGGTAATTTTATCCAGGGCATCCAGGTTCCATTGAAGTGCTCGGGATAAGAACGTGGATCCACTAGACCGGACGTTTGAGTCTTTAGAACTGCGAAGTACTCAGCGATGAAGCGATTTAACTCGTCGACAACCTACGAAGAAAGTAACATTTCCTTACAGAATAATCTCAAGTCGAGTACAACAGATACGATTGCAATAGATATCCACTAAATTTGGTAGAAAATAAATGTAGAAAATAAAAAATACGTAATTACGGCGATAATGCTTGATTACTTGTACCGATTTTTATCTCGTACGAAACGTTAGATCTTCCGGCGTAATAAACTAATTCCGATATGATCGCTTCGTTTCCAAACAGTTCGGATAAATACGGTCTCAGCGTGTATATTTACCTCCGGATGCTCGCGCGACACGTCCGTAGTTTCGCAAGGATCTTTGTAGACGTCGAACAAGCATCTGTCCAGGCACCTAGGATAACTTGTAAAATTATCGCAAACAACCGTGGCCGCTCGTCGAAGTTCGATTATACGCTCGCTGTTGAACGTCGCGTTCGAAACACTGGCAAGAGCGGAACCGGCTGCCGAATGCAAAACGTTCGATACGTTGTACTCTGGGTACGATTCGCTCGTGCCGCTGTCGCCGTAGTAATCGCCGTACGAAACATTCGCTCCTACGTACAAGAGAGAAAGTTTAATTGAACAAGATCATTGATAGTCGATTTACGAATCGACAATACGCGATTATTTACTGGCGATATTTGTCAGTAGCGACTAAACCTAATTTGATGTTATAGAGGGTGAGCCGGAACATGCGAAGGCTACGACAGGAGCTGCTTGAACGCGCTACAAGGAGAAGAAAATGTATTATCAATTAAAAAAGGACAATTACCATTGATCAATTTGTATCTTCCCATTAGAGCTCCAGAAAGAGCTTGCTTCTCGTCGATGTTCAATAATACGTTCTTACGCCTGGTCTTTTTTTCAGAAACGATAGTGGCCCATTGATCCACACCGTCAAGATTTTCCTCCAGATCTTCCAAATTACCGCCGGCAGCTGAGTAAAATGTTGGTAGCCAATCGGTCACGTGAATCAATTGGTTTGATATTCTGGACGGATTTTTTATCGCTGGCGAGTAAACGCACGCTACTCCACGAACTCCGCCCTCGAAAAGCGTGAACTTCAGCTGAAAATGGATGCTACGATCACTTCTATTCTACCTTAAATAGAATAAAGTATTGATTTTGCTTATTTAAATAACTCCTATCGAATTGAATGACATCAATTTTTGTGTCCTGTATATCATATTCTAGGCTCTCAAACTAGAGGATAACTGCTAAAGATTTTAACTCCTTAATTAGCTCCCTAATTGCAGATTTATCTCGTCTTTTTTTAAACACCCTGACACGTACCAACGAGAACGTACAAGAAACCGCAGAGTATAAAATACAGCGTTATATTACCCCACGCAGAGGATAGTTTGATCCATAATTGTTCAAAAGACCCACAGTCTGTGCACCGTTATCAGACATAAAAACGATAATCGAGTTTTCCAGCATGTTAGTCTGCCTCAACGCCTGGACAACTCTACCGACAGATTCATCCATGGCGGTAACCACGCCTGAAAACAAGGAAACATACATTGCAATAAGGTACAACGAGTAACATTTATGGCGTACATAAATACTCATATTTTATGTTTCTGTTTGGATTCGTGTGTTATGAAAGTTTAGATACTGCGAGAATATAACAAGTAGTAGTTGATGTACTGAAAACAAGGCGACAAATATAAGAGTCACGGTCCAAGCTCGAGTGCAAGTTGAAGGTGTCAGGTCTAAATGACAAGCTTGTCGATTGGAAAGGTAGACCAAGACTGTAACCCGAAAACAAGGTCGTACGTTTATATAAACCTCTCTTTTTATTTTAGTACGCCGAATCAGCCCTTGCTGTGCTTCACACGTGTTCTCATTCGTCCTATGTATTTTCAGATTGTGCTTAAATTTTACCAGCACAGAGCGTACCGTAACACCCCACGTTGGATCCACTTCAGCAGAAGACAGGAGGGACAAAAACAACGAGAAAGGTTCGTACGAACATACGTTGACCAATCTTGAACATATTTGACCTTGCCTCAAATTTACAACCAGTTTGTGATTTTTTTAAATGCCGCGAAATTCTCTCACTCGATAACTACGAGGTTTCATGCAGACCGAAGGTGGCGATTTCGAGTAGCTTCCGTGGAGCTAAGCAGTTGCGTGTTCGTACGAACTTTTCTCGCCGCTTTCGTACTGTCTGCGCATTCTTGAAGTGGCTCGCGCGTGTCACAATACACTCTGTCTAATTAGATCACACGATGATCGTCTCACACGGTGTTAATCAGTCTTCAAAATCTACTTTATATAACAAACGTAAAAGTTTTCCGTGGCAAGCGCGCGAATACTTTTACTAGCCACGCTGTATACACATATGATTAACAAAGTCAGTGCTCGTCCACGATCTAATTGTTCTCGTCGCGTACCTGCCAACTTCCTTCTGTCAAAGTCTTCGATATAGCCTAACGTGGCGTTCGTTTCTTCTTCATCGCGGACTTCCATATTTGCCTTAGCGTCGCTAGAATGAGCGGCAACATGGGATAACTGAAGGTACAGAGGTTTGCTGCGATTGTGATTGAAAATTATATCTTCGGCCCTTTCCGTTATAAGGTCTGTCATATATTCGTGGCTGTACTTGACGGATAAGTTTCCTGCGACGTCGTAATGTAGATCATATCCAACGTGGAGCTACAAAAGAATTTTCATTCTCCTTGGTCGTTTCTTTTGGAAAGGGACTTTTCATCTACGCACAGTTCGGGTCCGAACCGATATCAGAGGATCAAATAGATGCAAAAGGACGGCGCTGATGAAGTCCCGCAAAAATAGGAATATATTTGATCGTTACTTCAAAAGTTATCGAAATTATCGAAAGATATATTTGATAATAATAAGATTATTAAAAAGTGGTCATCAAAGTGGAGAAAATATTCCGTTATAGACAAAATGGTAAAAATGTCCATGATTCTCGCTATTTTACAAAACTCACGTTTTGCTCGATGGTGTGTTTGAAGTATGTGATGTAACCACTGTAATATCCCAAGAAGGTGTCGAAACCACGATAGGCCGGTGTATGATAATCGCTATAATAGCCAACGTGCCACTTTCCTACAAGATGCGTGGCGTATCCCAATTTTCGTAGGTATTCTGGCAGGAGCGTATTGTTCAAAGGTATCGCGCGTTCTTCACCTGCCTTCAGCGGGTAGCCTTGCATTCCTGTTGTGCAAAAATGTGCACGTTACATTACGAAACATCCCCGATAATTAACACTTATACGTGAGACAGCCTATTAAACGATAATTAAATCGAGAAACCTATAAGTACTTGAGTCTACATCATCTTCTGTACAGGTGTCGAATAATCTTTTTTCTTGAGATTATTCGTGATCGATACCATAACATTTTTTATTTGAGTCGAACTTAATCATTGCTTAATTAGGTAATTAAAAATAAAGAAACATGTTGTAATATATACATAACATATAATATGTAGTATTAAGGTCAGGCGGATAAAAGCACAGTATATCCCTCTCGATATCGTACGACTTTCGTTTGAAACATTTTTCCGTGTCGTTCGTATTTTTCCAGACGTTTCTGCGTTTCCAGTTGAACAGAACACGCTGTATACAAATGTACATTTTTACAATATTACGTACAAGGCCACTGAGCAAGAGACACCGAAGCAGTTTAAAAATTCCACGCATTGATGATAAGAAAGAGGAAAACTAATTGCACTATTAGTAGTCGTTTTGAATATACGATTTCCTCGTTATCTGTCACAGGTGAATAAAATAATTAAGCGCGTTTTAAGTTCAGCCGTAATTAAGTTCAGCCACGCGTATGTTCTTCGTTGTTTCCACGTAACATGGCAATCTTCTTCGATTCTTTTTTCCATCATTCACCTCTTACAAAAGACGACATTGAGTTCCACTTACAACGCTTGACGAATAACGATCATACTTTGGCAATGGCTCGAGCAAATTTTATTTATAGATAAGTGTTAGTTAAGCGTTGAGAAGTCAAGAGTTAAATAAACATAGTTTGATAAATGCATAGTAGACGGGATAAATAATTGGATTAAATAGACGATTCTCTATAGCTGTAGTCAAATAAATAGTTAAATAAATAGATGTCTGATTAGAGAAGTGCGTAAACATCCATATCAGAAGGATGTACGATCGAGAGTACAAGGCAAATAAGAATAACAATTGTAAACCGAGTCTCTCGTGATAGCCAGCAAGCTGATACGAGTAAACTACCATCGTTATTAATTTGTAACGCAAAATTGTGTCAAATTTTGCGAGTATTTCATTCGAATAATTCTAAGCTTGAAACTAGCTCCTGACTTGAAACAGGTTGCTGGTTTTAACAATCGCGGCTCGCGATAAAAAATTGATAAAAAAGCAACGAGCCAAATGCCTGGCTATCGATCGCATAAATCGTATTCATAGAGTACCTGTCCGAATAGGATAACGCCCGGTAAGAAAGGCTGTCCTCGACGGTGTACAAATCGGCAAAACGTAATGTCGTTGCAGTATCACGCCATTGTATGCCAAAGCGTCGATATTCGGCGTAGGTATTTGATCGGCACCGTGAAAACTCACGTCGTTCCAGCCCTTGATGAGGAATTCCAGCAATTCAATATTGTCTTTCGTTCGCCAATCGATAGGTTAGTTAAAGAAGGTTCGATGAAAACCTTTATCTCTGGGACGTGTAAGGAATTGTCGAAATTTCGCTGACAGCTCGTTTGTCGTGAAAATCATTTGCGGCCGGAAACGATCAATTAGAAATCTCTTACCTTTGGATTACGTAGCAAATTTTGCCGATTTTTCGTCATACATCTACTTGAAAAAGATTCGATAAAAATCTTTAGATCGTGTAGCGAATTATCGAAGTTTCTTGATTGTAAAAGTTATTTGTACTCGAAAAAGATTAACCGAAGATCTTTATCCTCGAATCGTGCGGCAAATCGTCGAGATCTTGACATTTCCTTGATCGCGAAAATTACTCCTACTGGAACGAAGTTAATTAAAGAAACCTTATCTTTGGCTCGCGTAGTCGTCGAAATTTTATTGACAACTTCTTAGTCGTGAAAATCGTTAAACAACGCTGTTGTTGAAAGCAGATTGTTCCCAAATGTTTGAAGAACATAGATAAAAAAAGATCAAAATTTGTATAAACATACATAAAATTTACGATCGTATTTGTCAAACGTTCTTAGATACGATGAAACGAAATGAAACGAGCGCAAGGATTAAAGAAATTATGTCAAGTTTGCTCTATTATCTATCTTATTGGTATTCAAGAACGAATTGAGAGTGCAACGTGCACGCGTGCCTTTTAATCGATCTTCGACTTGATCTACATGCAACGATACACTGCTATGTTTTTGCAGGTCTGCTGCTTTGTTAGCAATTGCAAGAATGCAAAAACATATGGTCGAAACCATATTTGTCCGACAAATGAAATCGAGAACATAGAAAGCGTAGAGGAGCAATATGTGTGCATTTCCACGAATCGAAATATTTATTTCATAAATATGGAACCGCGTGGATATCTTCATGAAGTATCGAGAAATTAATTTCTACCTTATCTTTCAATCGTCTGTGTGCAATATTCATGAATAACGAAATCTGATCGAATATCCGCGATTATGAAACACAAATGAGGCAACTGAGACGCTGGCCGATTCGTGGAAAATAAAATTATCAGGAAACAGGTCGATAAACTCGCTTTTAACATCGATCAGAATAGAAATGTTACTTTATCCATTTGTTCAAAAGAGATCGATGTAAATCATTGGTGTGAGCATGTCGTACGACGTTTGGCGAACCTGTTTCTGCAAAGTGAAAGAAAATTCGGCTTGCGTTTATTGCCAAATTTGCTGTTAAACGCTTTTTGTTCGATTTCACGAGCCACATCGACAGATTTGTCCTAGGAAACAGGACAAAGTGGAACGTCTTCGAAACCTAAAAAAAAGGGATAATCTTACAAGGTCATCCGCCATGATAACTATAATATTTGGCCGCTGCTGGCCCTGCGCTTCCTCTTTCGCCAGTACGACGTAGAAGTAGAACAAGCATCCTGAGGCAATAATCACAGACATTGACACTATGCAGTTAAGGATAGAATTCGACATTTGTTTTTACTCGTGTCCAGGTCTCTTCTTCTAGCCGTATAAGAATATCTGGAGGAAGATTCACACGATATGCGATAAGCAAAATTGTACACTGTAAAAACTTTCGTTTTACAAGGAAATAACAGATTTTGTTCTATTGCTATAAAATGGATCATACATAATTCGGTGAAATAGTATAAAACAAAAATGGTGCGCATCTGTTATTTCCTTCTAAACCCGAAGAATCTAATGCGCGTACAGGCAAGAAAAACAGCACGTTACGAGGAAATACGAGACGCGTACAGAAAATAAATTCCGATTGGCTATCATATCGGAAAAACAGAAGTTTGCTGCATTCTACACGTAGTTTTTACCTTCATCGAGATACTTGCCATAACAGGGCGCCGGTCAACGAAGAATCTTTTAACAAGCGCCCAGTTACCAGGTACCCTGGATCGTCGATATCAAATTGTGTCGGACAGAGTGCGAATGGATCAACGCGTTCTTTTAATTCGCTCTAATGCAATCGCTCTCGTGACGACTGCCAGAGCGAAGAAGATTCAAGAAAAAATCTCTGTGATGAAGACCGAGTTTCGTGACTTTTCCTTCCTTGCGAAAGAGATATCGTTATCTAGCAAAATCTAACTACTAAATCCCTATCTCGTCGCCTCTAATAGCGTTTCAATGGTGTTAAACACCTAGTAGCAAAATAGGGATTTAATAAAACGTCCGAACTACGAAAGTTATAGCGTGAATGCGCGAATCTTGGAGGTATTTTGTGTCACTAAATCCGCAAATGAAGTTTGCAGCTTCGTTTGTAAAGTTGCAGCTATCGTACGGACAATTTTCTTCGACGAGACGTCCCTTCTGCACAAACCGCGAAGATCCTCGGAATGGTAAAAAGCCAATCGGAACTTACTTTCGCGGATACGCCTCGTAGAACCGCGCGTAATCGTAATATAAACGCGTTGCCGGAGCTAAGTAAAAATCGACCACCACTCGACACAACGATTCACCATCAACGATCCTGCCACGTAATACCGCGCCACTTATAACGCGCTGGGGCTTTATACCGCCGGCGGAGAAAGTATTTTCCGGGATGCTACTCTCTAACTATTATCACTGGCCGACCGTGCGATCATTTAACTCCGAAGCCTGTACCGCAACTATCGAGAGCACGCGTCTCAAGGAGAACGTTCCGCTTTGTCCTGTATTCTTCGCAACTATGAAACTGATCTGTCCTTGCGATTTTCTGATAATACGCTCTTTCGCCTTGAGTACTAGCACGTTTGCACGGGACCGTCGGATTCCTAACTATCTTTAGGATAATTCAATGCTCGATATTGCTTATTGGACATTTAAAAAAAATTGATAAACAGAGATATCGTTAATCTTGCGATAACTGTGTCATGTATTGTTATTATTGATATTATCGAATTGTGTAGCTGGATTGAGTATTGTTTAAGTAGGATGTCTGAAAAATCAAAGCATATGTAAACTGTAGCTGTTGTTTGCGTTTACAGAACAGATTAGATATATAGTTTAGATATGCAAATATGTATGGGATAAATGTAGTGAAAAATAATATAAAAAAAATATTCAAAGTGGAGTATTAGGTATAATATTTAAAGGACAAAACAGATGTTTGTTTAAACGTCGTTTCTTCAGTTTCTTTCATAAACATTTGAATTTATATCAACATCAGCAGTCTAGAAATATATTTCTTTCGAGACATGTACTTTCGGTTCAGTTACTTTTGGTACAAAGGGAAATGTGCCAGCAAATAATTGACAAACTATTTTGTATTCGATAATTTTATTCTCTCTGTGAGATTTACCACTTATTTTATTCGTATTTTAAAATATCCTATGGAACTCGTATCGTTGTATTTACGTAAATAAATTAATCGCATGTTTAAAATATTTGCGTATGTACATTAAACTTGGAATTGTAATGCAAATGGGACGTTTTCCCAGTTCTTATCAGATGTATAATTTTTAATTTAAACAGAATTAGTAAACAGTATGGACATTTCGTAAATAATAAACTCGTAAAACTCGACTGCTAAATAAACGACTTAAGTTATGGCAGGTAACGAGTATACTTCGCTATAAGGCTATCGTCCAAAGCACCTAAATTACATATTCGTTTGAATTACGCAGCAAGGTCGGCAAAATCGTTAATTACAACGTAGATATGAAGCTATTTATTTCAATTTCTGCCTCGCTAATCATATTTATCGTCATAATTCACCAGTTAACCCGAAGCATTGCCAGCCATATTTTTACATTTTCTTTCGATGAAATCGCTCGACTATGAACGTTATTCCTAGTTGTTTTAGTAACAATAACAATTTACGTTCCAAATTGTTGGCGTTCTAACTGTAACCGCTTTGCTTTAACAATCAAACCGATTGCGCTGTTAAATATTACATCGCTAGAAACGTCTAATTTTATATAAATTTAATGCAATATAAAATTATTAATTATAGAACATAAAAGATTGAACTAGTTAAAATACAAATAACAGCATAAAATATTAAAAATTGTGCTATTCTTTTAAAACGTTCATTTACTTTGCTAAAATTTCTGATGATAAAACAACCACAAATAGATATGTTCTGCTTGACTCTTCGAAAACTGTTCAGTTTGGCAAATTATTACCCTGTTGTTTAAAACTCTGTGTGCCATTTCAAGTTGAGTCAACTGATTTGCGATTTTCGACAATCATTTGATACTGCGACAATATTTCCTTATAGAATCACTGCTCGAACAAACGTTGCATGGTCATATAAAATTGCTCAGTAATATCGAAACCAAAATCACCGATATGTGGATGTAGTAGACTAAGTTGCCAAGTACAGCTGCAGCGTTGCACAGCGCATCCCCTGATTTCACCCACGGTCCCCACGTATCGTTTCTATTTCTCGGATCTGCCGACCAATCGATCGGTTTTTTCATTTGCTTCACCAAAATGTGGCTATACTCTTCCAGAAAATAGTTCAAGTCTCTGGCGATCTGCAGACGACAAATCGGTACATTATAAAAATATATAGAATATCACGTAGCAAGATCGGTGGTCGTAACGACGATTTTTAATAATAATAATAACAACAACAACAACAACAACAACAATAATAATAATAATAATAATAATAATAATAATAATAATAATAATAGAAAGGAAACGAAAGGAGAGGGAGACGCAAGGCCGATCATTATAGAAGACTGTGACTCGAAGAACATCGATAATGATGGCACAACGTTGGATGGCATTAGCGATGTTCAGCTGTGCTTGCGTTCATGCTATTTACTGTACGCATTGTCGACATCGATATGACATCAGCATTACATCAGCACTGCATTAACACAACGTCAGCACTAGATCAGCAACGCAATGACATATTGATATCGCTTTGACTAGCCGAAATAACGTAAAGGTATTCGTACCTATTACTCACCCTGACATACGTTTCCGCGATGTTCCTTGTTTCGCATGGATCGTTCACTATGTCGAATAAACATTCCGTGACGTTGCAAGGCGTGAGCATCTGTCTGCGGTAATACGTGAAATTTGCATTACACTGAACCGTTGCATCTTGCCGTAATCGTACCATTGTACTCGGTTGTGTCACCGGACCACCCAAATGATAAGTGAGGCTCTCAGAAACGGTACTTTTCATCACGATATCCGTGTACGTAGGTAGCGTCTCTAACGTCTTTCCAGAGTCGCCATAGTATCCGTCGTAATAACCATTTTCGTTGGTACCTTGAACCATTTTTTAGGAAAAATCCCTAATTATCTAGAGAAGGACGAAATCTTCGTCGACTTCGATCACCCTAGCGGTGGTTTTTATTTTATTCTGCATTTTAGTAGTTACCCCTCAACAATTTAAATCGACTATAGATCGCTCCCTCAGTTTTTAAAACTTCGTCGATATTCAACAAAAGTTTATCTCTGCCACGTCCACGTCCACTTCCTTCACTAAGTAGACGCCATTGATCGATTCCGTCGATCTTGCCTAGATCCTTCAGATCTCCACCAGCTGCAGAGTACAATGTTGGCAACCAATCCGTTATGTGTACCAATTCATTGGATACGCGGGCTGCTTTCTGCAGCCTGGACGACCACAATGCCGCGACTCCTCTCACGCCTCCTTCGTATAACGTGTATTTTGTCTGTAACAATAATATTCTAAAATGTAGATGTATACGGTGGACTCTCGGTTATCCGAGTCCCGTTCAACCGATATTATCCGAGATGCTTCGAGCTTTAGCGTAACTTCACTTTCGTCGAAATTTTGACACGAAATTCTGACGTACAATGTCAATTATAACGTATAATAAATTCGATTATTCGAAAGTTTGAGATTGAATTTGAGAATGCTGAAACTTAGGTGATTCATTTTCAAGTGGATAGAAGCTCCGTCTTAATGACGTGATCTTACCCCTCTTAAGGGATAGTTGGAGCCGTAGTTCCTGTATCTACCGACCGAAGCTGCTCCGTTATCGGTTAGAAACAGAATCAAGGAGTCCTTCAACATTCCTTTCTCGCCTAGCGCGTGAAATATGCGCCCAACCGACTCGTCCAACTTCGACACCATTTCTAGAATAAGACAAGCGCATTCAATTAGTCGTGTGATTTATGAGATCGTAAACCGTACAAATACGAACTAAGATAACGAGATCTGTCACAGAAAAGGTGAACTATTTATGCGGCTTTTAGCGACCAGCCTATTTTCATCCGACGAAGCCAATCTGAATTGTTTCCTTCGTAAATTTCTAAAAGCCTCTTCTCTAAAATTTCCATTTTTCCAGTTGTACTACTGTCAGTGCGAAGCAGCTATGTCTAAATTAGACGCGTCTACGTACTAGCGTATTTGCGACGATTCGGCTCGCGAATGTGTATAGGCTCTCTATCGTTGTACACGTTCATTGGTTGTTCTAAAGGTGCGTGAACAGCAAGATGCGATAACTGGAGATAAAGAGGCCTATTAAGTTCGTGATTCTCGATGATGTTGATCGCTTCACGGGTGAACATGTCTGTCGCGTATTCGCGATTCATCCCGTAAGCTGGATCGTCTCCGCGATGCATATCGTATCCGCTCATGTTCTGGAAGTGTACAAATAAGATATCTTATAAAACTTCTACTTGCTTTGCTACTCTCACATTGCTTTTAACATCTCACCTGATTCGAATAGCTATAATCGTAGTAAGAAATATAGCTGTTGTAAAAACCGAGGAACGTATCGAAGCCTCTGTGCAATGGCGTGTACTGAGGTGTATAGTAACCCATATGCCATTTTCCAATTAATTTCGTGGTATATCCTAAGCCTCGTAAATGCTCTGGTAAAATTTTGATGTTGAGTGGCAGGCCACGTGGTTCGCCACCGCGAATGTCAGCTCCTTGCATCCCTATATAGATCAACAATTGCAAACAAAATTGATGTTGCATTAAACAAGAATATTCATGAGATGTTACGTATACTATAGGTGTACGCAGCATAAATTCGTAGTACGATTTAGAGTCAGGTAGAGTCCAGTAACTCAAAATAATAATATTTCTAAACGTGTACAAATACGTACCGATACGGATTGGATACTGTCCAGTGAAAAAAGCTGTCCTGGATGGCGTACTTGACGGTAGTACATAGTGTCTGTTTAGTATAATCCCATTGTACCCGAGTGCATCGATGTTAGGAGTTGGTATCTGATTCGATCCATGAAAACTAACGTCATTCCATCCCTATCAGACAAAATAAACCTCAAATCGTAAAACTATCTTCATACCATTGCAAACTAAGTTAACTTATTTTCTACGTAAAATAGGGTTCATAATTTTAGACGCAATGTTAAATTATAATGTAACGTATCATTAGTGCTAATACTAATTAAAGTTATTGGCAATTGACAAAGTGGCAGGAAATGTCTGTTCAATGTAGAAGTTCTAGAACAATTGAACCCTGTGTTTGTTCTAAAAGTTAAAATAGATTTCGTGAAATGTTAGCTACTCATTAGACATAAAAACTCAGCTTAAATGGTGCAGGTATATTCCTTGTTTCGCTTTAAATTTAACAAACTATCTAATCCCGCTTGTGGCAAGAAATAAAAGATTAACAGATAAGTCTTCGGAACTCTGCACGGAATAAGATCTAAACCTAGTAACTCTGAGGGATTATCGTTGGACTATACCTTCTCGCCATATTATCCAAGATTACATTCGCTAAGTGACCTAATTGAGCCAGTTGTAAATTCGAGAAATAGATTATATATGTAAGAAAGAAGCTAGTATATCCGGTGGTACATTAGCGAATACCAACGTAAACTGGCTTCCTAACATGCCAAATGTCAAAATGATATACTCCCAAGGTAAATTACGCTTATACATCTATGAATGAGATAATAAACGATTATATAATAATAAAATATGACAGCATAATAGTAGTAATTGATATGTCATGGTAGATAAGAGGGAGATTTTTGTTTTGCGGTTAGGATGAGTCACAAGCACTAGCATCCTTGTTAGATGAGGGGGCGTAAGTAATTTTCAAGTCACGATAATTGCCTTAACTAAGGATAATTTTAATTCAAAACGCTTTCGTACTACAGATTAATTCCAGCGAATTAGACGAAGCAGACAAGCATAAGTAATATATGGACGGTTGCACTTTGCATAAGTACAACTTTCGTAAATTTTTATTTCAATTTGTAGTTTTCATCTACTTTCTGGACTGGGCAACTATAATAGGTCATGTCCTACTTCTTAAATTAAATTGGCACGTGTCGATCTAATGCAAAACGTTAAAATATCCAGTACCCATTTCACACGATGTAGCTGATCTTTTACCAAATCACTTGTTTTATAAAATTCTTAAATTTATATGCCGTACAAATAATTTACATTTTGATTAACTCGTCAGTATTTAAATTCGCTGCAAACATTATAAAAGTTTCGTATACGATATACCAAAACATAATAAAGCTAACGTTTAATAATTTTGCTAAAAATATATAAGTTTTAAATGAAATAAATTTACAAGTTAATGAAACTTATTTGTTGAGCATTAATTTTAAATAATATATTATAGTCTTACCAAATCGTCAGCCATAAACACAATAATATGAGGCGACGTTTCATACAGGCCGAATGCACAATCGATGAACAATATTAGGGGCAGCAAAGACGTACTTATCCAAATGATGGAAAACCGACGCATTCTTCGCAGAGTTGAACGAAAGAAACAAAGTAAACAAAGAAGCAACAAAGTAAAAATATAATAAAAATCTAACGAAAAATTGAAAAATGCTTAACACAGAGCACTTTTTCTTTTTAGCACTTTAAAACACGGTTCACCAAGAATGATGGTGAGAACATTGTGCCCGCGATGTTTACGAAGGAACTTCTAGGAATGACGAAAGAATGAGGAACAGAGATAAACGTTTATATAGTCCACCCACGAAGAAGCATGTCATGAATGGATCACTCGAAAGGGGAGGGAAAGTACACTAATAATTACGACAATAAAGAAGGTACGTGTTTCAGCTGGGTTGCTTCTCGTCTTACGTGTTATTTTCCGTACTTATGTAATTGTCTATCTGCGTACGAGATATTCTGTACGTGTCGACTAATTTTTAAGTGCTATTTAAGTTATAATAGAATATATTATAATAACTGGATATATATTAACTGTTAGAAAAAATCAAGGAAACGACATACTGATCTTGATGTCTGGTCAAAGTTTTATGAAATTCAAACAGGTTCACAAAAGAAATACTGATTCAAAGTAAGCTCCCTTATTGTCTCGGTGGTAACTAAGGAACGATAACAAAGAAATTATCAAAATATTTTTTTTAAATATCTTGATAATTAATAATTTGTTTATTATTGTACCCCATTACTCCTTTGCGTAGAATGACGAGGGGAATCTTTCTATGTAAAAATAAGTATACATTTTCATTCAAAAATATAATGCAATTGTTGATTGTACACACACCTTTGCACTTTTAAACAAAACACGATCCTGCGGATGCACTCTCTTAACCATTCGTTTTTCTCCTTTGACATTTTTCTGTGACTGCACTGGTAACACAATTGCATGGACCACCCTATACACATTTCCAGACTGCTTTCAAATTTTACCAATATGATCATGATAGTCGCGTCTCATTACACTCATAAAATTTCAAAATGCTTTGTATATCATGATATATGTATATACATAAAAGTTTCCCACATATCTTAAAGTGAATGAATTTCAAAATATTGAAATAAACGAAAAAAACAAATTACAGCTAGATGCTTGGGAGATGTATTTACAATTTCAAAACTCACAAAACTCACAAAATGTATTTAAAAGTTTAAAAGAAGGAGTCGGAAGAAGATAAAGTTCTTAAGATCTTTATTAAAGGAATGAAACAAGCGAGGATAATAATTCTAAAAGAAAATCAAACTTCCGTTCCTTTATTTGTAATTCTATAATACTTTAAAATTTATTTAAAAAAATACACAGTTTATAGTTTTCGTCTTCGCAACTTCCAATAAAAACTCATAATCCTATACTTCTGAAATACACATTGCATCGTCATTCTCATCGAAAAACATAGAATTCTGGAATAATCTTTTTTACACGTGTAATAGGTATGTATATCTATATTATATAATGTTCAGCTAAATGTATAACTAAATAGGTATTTTATTCAATAATCTCCGACAATCTTTAAAAAGATAAAAAATGTGCTTTATATTTTTGCTGCATTGCCTTATTTTATTATATAATTTATTATATATAAATATATTATATAAATATAAAAATATATATTATATAAAATTACTATTTCCCTCTCATTGACATACTTTAATTGGAAGACATCGCTCATTTGCCGCAACAACGACTGGAAATTTCTAGTTTTTTTAGTTATTGGCGCAAAAAAAACAGTTGATCTTTAAGCTGTTAACCTCTCCGCATTTACTGACAAGGTGTCTCGTAAACTGATTTTTACCGAATCTATGAATAAAATATCTCGCACTAATGCGTGTTTTAGTGAATAAAACACATGTTAATGCTGCATAAATTCCTAATAATGCAGCACTAATATTAATAAACATTATATCGTGAACTATCTCGCCCATAGATATAAAGGATTAATAATAAATTAAACGAAAGTATTAATAAATGACAATAAAATAAAACCTTTATTAGATGAAAACAAATATATCCCAATATTAGACTGAGGTAGACATAAAATTGCATAATTATTTTCTGCCTGTAATTAAATATTTTAGCACAACTTTTCCTTTTAAATTTGTATTTCTTTAAAACACTCATATTTTTCTATACTCTTGTTGGTTAAAGATGGAGACATCCGTCATTTCTAATATCCAATCAATATCTTTATTCAATATATTTTCAACCCATTAAATACTAATTCTATATTAAATTATTAAATCATAGTGATATAATATTTTATTGTACAACAAGAGAATTTAATAATCATATAACAGTTTATAAACGCAATAGGTTTATTCATAGAATCGTTGAAAAATTACGCATATTTTGTATATAAATAATAAAGTTGTGAACCCTTACAACAAACCATTTTTTATTAACCTTTGAAATACCATCAAATATAGAAATTAATGTTATTTTTTAAACCTTTAAAACCTTTTTTAGACCTCTGAGATCTTTTTTAAACTTCTTAAACCTTTTTTATACCTTTTAAACCATTTTTGAAATTATAATGAAGATATTTCTATTACATTTTACCGATCATGTTCTATTATTTTATTGCATTATTCTAAATATTATATTCAATACATGATAAAAACCATTTTTTCTTTGACTTTTTAATAATGAATAAAGTGGAAGATACATTAACATAAGGATGTAGAAAATTGTTTTAAATTTATCATTCGTTGCAGTATAAAATTTTTATATCTTCGTATTTTTGAGTTTTACTTTTTATTTACACACTTTTTAGTAAGAAAATAGTATTTAAGAAAGATTAGTTCATGGTTTACTATATATTTACAAAATTATTTTTCCTATGACAAAAATGTATTCACAAAATTTATATAAGTATACAAATTGTCTAATGGTAATTAGCCAAGTTATCAAAATTATATTAAATATTTCAATATTTACAAAGTGCAAGTTTATATGAACAAATTTACTTTTGTACTTATACTGCATTATATTTATAGTGTACAACTTATTGCATAAAACTAATCATCTTGTACGGATTTCATCCTCAAATCTTTTGTTATTAATTATTTAAATATTTGGATGGTAATAAAATACCTTAATTAACGTTATGTGTGATAAGGCTATTGAACTTAATTCTTTGTTCAAAGGTATTATAAAAATCTTTGTATTGTTTTATGATCTTGTATTTTTTCTAATGAATGTAGATTATCCCACCACGATGACAATTTATGCTTAAGAATTAATTTAAACCAGGGACTCAATGGACTAAGATTTTTCTCAATATCTTTGATTTCTGATTTTGATACCCAACGAATTTCACTGATTTCATCTGGATTTGGATCCAATGTTACATTATCTTTTTGTATAAATAACACATAATCTATTTCATGTTCACCCCATATACCTTCCACATCTTGATAATGAATTCTTGTTAAGTAGAAAAAATCTGATAGCAAAATTTCTGACAAAGGAATTCCTAACTCAAAATTCAGTCTTCTTCTTGCTGCTCTACGAATTCCTAGTGCCTCATGTTCTTCAGTTTCTTCAGGAATTTCAAATAATGGATGACTACAGCATGTATTTGTATAACGGTTTGGGAATGTTATCTATAAAAAAAAAAAATCTTCTGCCATTAATCTAATATACTTAATATAAATGTATAACTTTTGTATAAAAACTACAGAAGAAAAACATGATAAGTCACATTTCCTAGTTCTTATAAGGCAGTGATTTTAAAATTTATTATATTTACAATAAATCTCATATTAACAAAATTGCCTTTTTATTTGATTTTGGAGCTAAATATGTATTTTTTTATCTTCTTTAAAATATTTTGGATATTTCTCATTATAATATTAAAATATTACTTATCTTAATAATTAATGTAACGGAAGTTCACCTTTGTAATCATAAAGTGACATTCAAATGAGAAATCAACAAAAATGTACTTATCATATTTTTCTTCTGTGATCTACATATACAAGAAGTACATACCTTATTGGGAGACCTTTTTTGAAGTAATAGTTCTCCTTTACCATTGAATAAAAAGACACTAAATGCTCTATGAAGTAAAACTTGTCCATTAGAATTAACAATGTGACAGTCTCTTTTTGTGGCATCACCAAGAGGCTTGTCCGACTCATCAACAAGAATACAACGTTCCTCTAAAGCAGCTTCCTGCAAAGGTTGGGCACTACCGAAACTCCTCATTGGTGATGTTAAACTTCGTATAGCAGCACGCAATGTTCTAGCCACTTGAGCCATCACAGTAGTCTCCTCTTAAATAGTATTGAAAAATGTTCAACGTACAACAATTTATACACTCAAGCTGGCTCCAATATAGTATGATATGCAAAGTATAGGTTAATTAAATCAGTGACCTTCCTTTAAAAGTTATTTACATTATTTGAGCTTGAAGATTATTATGGATGCGATATACTCGGGGATATGCAAAATTATCAAAATCAGTAAGAAGTTAAATCTAACATGTATATTTAAATGATGGTATAAACATAAAACGTTTAACTAGAAATACGACAAGCATACTAGGCGGGGAAACTTTCTTTTTGAGAAATGCGGCCATATATTTTTGACATACATATTACATAAATCATCTTTCCTGACGTCATGATAGCATCTTTTGAATAAATACATAAGATTTTTTGATCCACTGTGAATGCTTCCAATTGTAGATCAACCAGTTCTCTTATGATAAAGATTTATACACACTGAAATATAGAGAGCGTGGTGGTAGAGTTTTGAATATACTATACTAATAACAAAATTGGCTATTGTGATATAAAAGAAATAAGTTTTTGTTAAAAACGATATTTATTGTAAGCAATTAAAATAATCATTTAAGAATAATTTTATAAAATGTATAGATAATAATTAAAAATACTGTAATTTAATCTTAAATTGTTATGATCATTTTGTTGCCTAATAAATAAAATATAAAGGATGCAATAGACATGATATTACAGAAAAATTGCAGAAAATTTAATATATCATGAAATTTTATATTATGTATAGTTATAGTATAATTATGTCATTTGAATCGTAATGATCGATAGTTCTCGTTGGTTCTCGACTTCGATCGATCGAATCGCTTCGTGGGGTAGTTGAGTAGATTTCAGGGTTTCAGTGTGTCTGCAATAAAGACCGTTATATAAAAAAAATTATTGTTTCTTTAATGTGTTATTTATTGTCTACGTTTCGATATAATTTAAGTCATTTTATATCATCCCATTAGTTTGTTAGTATAAAGCGCAAAATGAGTGAGAACGCAGAAATTACGGGAGTAATATCGCCAGAAGATGCGGCCAAAGCGGAAAAATTTAAAGAAGAAGCAAATGAATATTTTAAAAGTGCGTTTACAAACTTTCCTTATAAATTTGATCTTGCTATTTATTTTGTGTTTAGATGCCAAGCTAAGCAAAAATTCATGATTAACATTAGAATAATGTAATTTAGTCACGTGTACGTTGAAAACTAACCCAACTTCCGTAACGTAAATTATCATTAAATTATCAAGTGTAAACCTAATCATTATAAGTTTTGAAATTCAAAACAATCAGGTTCCTTGTTATATCGCTGCTAAAAGTTTATTCTAAATAATTATGTTCATTTGTAATGTTTGTCACTTTAATTATGACATTTCATATAACATGTTTTATTTGATGTGTCAAATTTGTAGTAATTTCATTTTGACAACATAAAAGTGTTAATTTTTAGAGTACTTCCATTATAGCGAAATAAAAAGTAATCTGTTATCCTTCCGGTGTATATGTTGAGAACAAACAAAACATTAATTATAATTTTTTCGCTATTATCTATCGTATATTTCATTATTTTCTTTTTAGATCAAGACTATGACAAAGCCATAGAATTCTATACTAAAGCTATAGAAGTAAATCCTACAGTGGCAGTTTATTATGGAAATAGAAGTTTTGCTTATCTAAAAACAGAATGTTTTGGATATGCACTTACAGATGCATCAAAAGCTATTGATTTAGATAAAAATTACGTGAAGGGATATTATCGTAGAGCTGCAGCTCATATGTCACTTGGCAAGTTCAAACTAGCTCTTAAGGATTATAAAACTGTTACTAAAGCAAGACCAAATGATAAAGATGCAAAGATTAAATACACAGAATGTTCTAAAACATTAAAAATGTTAGCCTTTGAAAAAGCAATCTCAGTGGAAGAAAATAAAAAAAATATAGCAGATATGATTAATTTAGAAGCAATGGGTAAATTATACTTAATATTTATTTAATGAGTTTAAATATGCTTAAAAAAAGTTCTGTTGTGATTGTTTTTGTTTTACAGCTATCGAAGATGAATATACTGGGCCTAAACTTGAAGATGAAAAAGTTACGTTGCAATTTATGCAAGATTTATTAGTATGGTATAAGGAACAAAATAAATTACACCGTAAATATGCTTATAAAATTCTTTTAGATATAAAAGCATGGTTTATGGCACAACCAAGCTTAGTTGACGTTACAATTCCTGAAGATAGTAAATTTACTATCTGTGGAGATATACATGGACAATTCTATGATTTACTTAATATATTTGAATTAAATGGATTACCATCAGAAACTAATCCATATGTATCTTTTATAATAGTAAATAAGTTATACCTATTACTACATTTCATATTTACTAATTTAATGATTAAATATACTACAATTAAATATATTACTAATACAAGTACAATAGTATCATATATTTCTTAATAGTTATACAGTTATTCAATGGAGATTTTGTAGATAGAGGCTCCTTCTCCGTAGAATGTATATTTACCCTATTTGGATTTAAATTATTATATCCAAACCACTTTTTTATGTCTAGAGGTATACTCTTACCAATCTATTTATATCATTAACATGTTGTACATATTCATAGTAAAATACAATATTTAGGTAACCATGAATCTGCTACAATGAATCAAATGTATGGATTTGATGGTGAGGTTAAAACAAAATATTCTGCTCAAATGGCTGAGTTATTTACAGAGGTCTACAATTGGCTCCCTCTTGCCCATTGTCTTAATAATAGAATACTTGTAAGTTTATATCGTTACGTAGAAGAGAGATATTGAATTTAATATAGTAGGTAACCAAGGAAGTTTGCGTTGTTTTAATCAATAACAATCAATAAAGAATGAAGCAGACTTTGCTGGTTTCCTGATAGTTATGCAATGGTGTATATATAAATTATGTGTTTATGGGATTTGTAGGTAATGCATGGTGGTCTATTTTCAAGAGACGACGTTACGTTAAAAGAAATTCGAGAAATTGATAGGAATAGACAACCACCAGAAGAAGGGCTAATGTGCGAATTATTATGGTCAGATCCACAACCACAAGCTGGAAGAGCACCCAGTAAAAGAGGAGTTGGTGTACAGTTCGGCCCTGATGTTACACAAAATTTCCTTGCCATGAACAATCTTGATTACATTATAAGAAGTCACGAAGTGAAAAATGATGGATATGAAGTTGGTCACTTTGGAAAATGTATTACTGTATTTTCTGCTCCAAATTATTGGTACATAAACGTGTATTATTAGTTTAAAAATAATTGTTCTTTATGAAATGAACGATCTTTAATACAGTCATTGTATATTAATTTTATTATTTATTCTTAGTGATACTATGGGTAACAGGGGCGCTTTTATCACACTTAATGGTAAAGATATGGAACCCCATTTCACATCATACGAGGCAGTGGTATGTTACAAACTAATTAATAAGTTTTATAATTTTTAATTGTACTACATAAGGATGTACTTTTGTTTCAGGCTCATCCAAATATAAGGCCAATGGCATATGCTAATTCTCTACTAAAATTCATGTGCTAGTGGAACACCCTAGGTATTATTGATAAATAAATGAATAACAATAACTGAATACGAGTAGCCCAATCAAAGTGTGCGTAATATATTTGATACCGAAATGGAGAAGGTGAGAAACAGTTAGGCTTCTCCAAAACAATAAAGTACTGTATTCTTTTTAGGAACATGAAAATCTTCTGTATCATAATAACTGCAATGAAGATGTAATATTGATGGGTACAAAAATGAAAAAGTTTGCTTGTTTTGAGAACATGCAAACAGACATATATCAAATTTTCTTGTCTATGATAAGACTAATGCCTCATTAGCAATTTATGTTTCACTGTAACGAAATGACGCAAAGAAGAAAAGAAACGTTTCTATTTTGTACCCTCAATTGAACCACCTTATTCACTAAAGATTTTAATGTTCACGCACAAGCTGAGTAAATGATCTCAAAGATCTCAACAGATTAACTTATATTCTAATATTTGCAGAAGGTGCTGAACATATAATGAACACACCTGTTATTCTTTTAATTTATTCTTTAATGAATAATGGTGGTTTTTACAAGACGATAATTATTACGAAAATATCTAATACATATGCAATTTAGCATGACTATGTAGTACAATTTTCCAGCCAGTCACTATTTGTCACGTTATTTGTGATAACTACTTTTTTACAAACTTAACGTGATTGGAAGGATTTCTTTAATCTAACATTTTGTTTTTTTGTTAATAATAAACGATGTTTATAATGTATTTAAAATTTATATTGTTTTTCTTTAAAAAAAGGAAACTTGTGTACCTTGTGAAATGAGCGGAAAAATTTCTCCTGGTAAATTATCTCGATTTTGACGATTCACAGTTATAATTTTACATCTTTTATCTGCATGAAGCTTTTGGAACAATGATAAATGCCGTTGCGGTACTTTATGCATTTGAGGTATCGTCGCAATTACAAAAGGTATTTTTGAAGTTCCAAAAAATAACTTCACTATTTTATCATGAAATCTTTGACTAAACAATTCCATTTTTCCAATTTCATCTATGATTAATATGTCCTAAGGAAATCGAAAATTAATGAATTGATTACAATTATAAATATGTATAAAATATATAAAACTATTCTGCTTACTGCATTTGAATCAAAGACAGGCAATGCTGTTGCTTCAAAATCATTAAGAAACACATGATAATTCCCCACTTTATATTTAGAGTGCTGCGACTGGTTTATCACATTTCTGTTTACAAGTAGTATTGTCTTAGTCAAAAAGGAAATTAAACTTTATATATTTAAGAAATTAATACCAACTCAATTCGTGCCAATGTTGATTTTTCGTCACGGTTTTTCATTAGCACAACATCAAATCCAATCCTGCTACCACTTTGACCTCGAACTTCTTCAGTATAAAATCCATCAAACTTACAACTTTGTTCCTCCATCATCAAAGCTAACTTTTTACATAACGTAGTTTTTCCTATACCTATGGCAGTTCTCATTTTATTCAAAACCATTATAAACTATTTTTATTTACAATAAACGATTAGAAGATTAACTAATAAATTTTAAAGAATGCAACAAATACATTACTTATTATTATAAAATTACACATGTTATATGACGGTGATTTAAATAAATAAGAAATGTAAATAATTAAAAGAAAAAATATTAAATATTTTGAACATTGAGGATATGTAAAAGTTACTAGTAGTGGGCGATTTTTTGAACACCATGTAATTTTTGAAAATCGCGGACTTACCAGGAGGGCCAGTGAGAAGTACGCGTGAGACACGCAATGCGGCGCCGGTATCCATGCTTCTTGTTTTTCTAGAAGTGTTTAAGTAACAGTTGTGAGTGACACTTGCATATAAACGTAAGAAGATAGTAGGTAATCGAAATAAAAAGAAAAAATATTTTTATTTAATGGGGCTATTTAGTTAGAGATATATGTATCGATGATATGGATAAGAAATCGAAAGGAAAAGATTGATAATATTAGCCACAACGTGGAGTCGCTGAATAGCGATCAGCTGATTGTGCTCGAGTAAGACAATCTGTTCGGGTGGGCTGAAACGCCTTTGTATATGTGGGTACCTACTACCTACATATGTACTTTGGTTGTGTTCAGAAGTGCGTTGGTGCGTGAGACGCACCTCGTGTAGCTTATGTTTGTGTGAGTTTATGAGGTGTATACTCGCGACACGTCTGTCACAGAATAAATATAAGATCGGTCACGACGAAACTTATAATAGTTACAACCTATAATAATCTCGTAGATTTGATTGCGCCACGAATTTCCCTATTCTATAGGTCTCCCCGGTTTACTAAGTACGCGAGACAGTCTTAGAATCTTTGAGGTGCACTAAGGGTACTTAATCGACGAAGAGAATACGGGCGTTAGTTACAGGATACATGGAAGAAAGGGACGAAGGGTGAAGACGACGGTTCTATCCGTTTTCGTATACGTATCAGTATATGCAAAGAAATGGCTCGTCCTTCCAATTATAATCCGCTCTCGTATTTCGTCGCAAGACAAATCGACGACAAAGTCGACTACTGCAAACGCCTCGTTAATGCAAGGTTCGAAAGCTCCGAAAATCTGTTTAGGAAAGATCTACTATCGCATTATGGATGCGTCAATGCGATTGAATTTTCGAATCAAGGAGATCTATTGGTTTCCGGTAAGAAGTTAACAAATATGTTTGATTTATTTCGTTCTTACACGGCTTATGCCCGTCGATTTAGAAAATTAAAGTTCGACGGAAAATTGAAGCCTTTTGATATTTTTAAGTAATTACACGATTGTGCAAAACATGTGTTAGTTCCTGGATATATGTTTTTGTAATGTATTAAATTGATTATTGAAATGAAAATATATTTATTGTTTAAAATTATTTTATCATTAATTTAACAGGTGGTGATGACAGAAGAGTTTTATTATGGAAAGTAGAGCAAGCAATACAAGATGTAGGCAAACCCACAGTAATGAAAGTTCAACACATTAGTAATATTTTCTGTCTTGGTTACGATAATAGCAAAACAAAAATATTTTCTGCTGGAAATGACGATCAAGTTATTGTTCATGACTTACGAACGTATGAAGCTTCTTCCTTAAACACTTTTATATATAAACATATAGAACTAAACAATTATTTATTTCTTGATATAGGGGAGATGTTGTGAATCTCTTCGTCCATGAGAAACCTGTTTATGGACTGTCAGTACATCCGCATAATGACAATGTATTTGCAAGCGCCTGCGATGATGGGAGAGTTTTAATTTATGACATACGAGGATCCAATGCTATGGAAACATTTTGTTTGGCACGGTACAAAACTGCTTTTCATTCTGTAATGTTTAATCCTGTTGAGCCGAGAATGCTTGCAACCGCCAATGCTAAAGAAGGAGTTAGCATGTGGGATGTAAGAAAACCTTTGAAGTAAGTAAAAAATTCAAATAAAATCATATGAAAATGTTTCGTCAAAATAATAACTATAATAATATTTACAGACCTATATTACGTTATGGAAATGAAAGTTCAGCTCAGAGTTGTATGAATGTTAGATTTAATGCAGCAGGTAATAGATTGCTAGCTTTGAGAAGAAGATTACCTCCTGTACTTTATGATGTAGACTCTTCTACTCATTTATGTCAGTTTGATCATCCTGGATACTATAACAGTTGCACAATGAAATCATGTTGTTTTGCTGGAGATAATGATGAGTATGTCCTTTCTGGTAAGTAGTACTGCAATAATCATAAATCTTTTTATATACTTCTTCTGCTAGTATTTACATACATTTCAACTTATAATTTTAAGGTTCTGACGATTTTAATCTATATATGTGGAAAATTCCTTCTGAGGATGTAAAATGGGTAAATTTTGCACACATGGTATTACGTGGGCACAGGTCCATTGTTAATCAAGTACGATACAATCAAGCTAGTTGTATTTTTGCTTCATCTGGAGTTGAGAAACTCATAAAGATTTGGAGTCCATTTCCTCTTGGAAGCAATTGCTTAGGTGGATTAAAGGTAATTTATGGAATAATTTTATTATACATGTTGATAGCATATATCATTGTTTCTATATTTATATTTTAGAGGGATGATGGAAGACAAGAGAGGCAAAGGAGAGTATTTACACATGATGAATATATTGGACTAGTATTACGTAGTGGACAATTTATGACACATGATTATAGCCATCAATCAACCAGAGAAGATCCTAGAATGATGGCATTTTTTGATTCATTGGTACAACGTGAGGTTGAAGGTTGGACTTCTGAAGATATGTCAACAGCACCTCAAACCCCTAGTGATTCTGAAAGTAATCTTATAACTGGACGAGTTTATAGTGCAACAGATTCTGATGGTAAATCTTTTTTTCAAATTTTTACATTGAAGTACTAAACAAAAATAATTTTGAGTGAAATATTAATTTATTTTCTTGTAGACTCTACGGCATTTGACCGTCAATTGATGTCAAGTATTTTGGGGCCAGCGATAACACTGGCATCCCGTGGATCCTGTGGGGGTGGAGTAGCCCCTGAAAGACCATTAGAGTCCCCAAATCGTATAACACAACTTATAGCATATCGTAGAGAAAAACTAATGAAACTTGCAGCTGTAGATTGTGATGCACCAGCAAATAATGCCTCAGCTGCAGCGTCAGAACCATCTGCCTCAGGTTCTGCCAGTGATGGTGACAATGCACAAGTTAAGTGTAAATCTAAATCAAAAGTAAAATTTCTTAAGAGGAAACATAGTAAAATTACTGAGATAAGAAGGGCCGGAATAAAGTGTGCAGTGTTACAAATTAATAGTGACTCTGATAGTGATGAACAACCTGTTGACACAACTCAGCCTAGTACCAGTTCTGGCGTAGTTTCTAGAAGATCACGATATGTTGTGCATATTGAGAGGGAAGCAAAACATTCAAATTACAGCAGTAGCAGTTCAGAGGATAACGACATTTCTGGTAAACGTAAGCATTCGAAAACTGATTCTGATACTTCCACGAAAGTACACAGAAGGAAACACAAAAAATGTAAAAGTAACTCAAAAAGTGACAGTACCAAAAATAAGAGCAAACGGCAAAAAATTGATTATGATACAAAGAAGAAGAAATCAGGCAGAGATTGGAAGCTTTATTTAAATGATGTTAGTAATGCAATAAAAATCCAAAAAGATGGTCCATCAGTGCCAGTGAACAAATCAAGCAAAGTTCCTTCAACTCCTGACAGTGGTATCACATCAGGAGTATCTACAAGTGAAAAAAATGGTGAACAAGCACAGAAGGATCAAAATGATGCAGAGAGCTCAGATCATGAGCAGAAACTAAAAAATCTAGAATATTTTAGAAAGAAGGTGAATGTAGTAAGAAGGAGCTATCGTATTCGATCTAAGCCTTTATCCCAAACTATTTCAACTACAACTGATTCTTCCGATTAAGCTCCTATTACCTTCAACATTTTAATCCCTTTCCTTTTGTACATAATGAATCTGTGATTCCTTGAAGTATATTTTTATAATACTAAGTTCGTTCGCACGCGAATATGACCGGTTTTTTCTATCTTCTTTTAGACTTTATTATTTTTCCGTTATCTTCATATGTATGCTATATTTTATTGGAAACTCTTATCATACAAGACTGTCCCAGAAAAATAAATCTTCTTTCACCATATTTAGAACAATTTTCATTGTCATCTAATCACAATATTTTATAATTGGTACAAAGGATTATACGAATTTAGTAGTTTAAAATGTTTAAAATTATTAATAACTGATGTCTCAATTGTTTAGAAAATTTGATTTATTATTATAATATAAACATGTTTGGATATGACCATTAAATCATATATAATCGAAACTCCAGCAAAACACCGCCGAGAATTATAGGTAAATTGATGCTACATTAGCTATAATAAGCGATCCAGCTAATGTGTATTGTTGACATGGTTTGTAAGTGTGATGGAAAATAATAAAACAATAAATTGATATACATTTTTTTCTTATATGTTTAGCTTTGAAAACAAGTTAAGGATATTGCATTATTTAATCCTGCATTTATACGTCTTTATTAACTTATAATAAATAAAGGAAAGAATGACCTAAATTTATGCATTAATTTATTGTCCAATAAATTTATGTAGTTCTGCTTTATTTAATATCAGAACACGATTTTCCTTTTAATTTTGATAGAAAGCATAAATATACGAAACAAATATGACTAATTCCTTTATGATGTCATTGTGGTTTCTAGATATAAAGTACATTCTTCCTGTGGGTACAAAACCTTAATTCTTTCAGTTTTAGAAATAATGTTCCCTGGTCTTTCATTTTACTAACATCAGTTATTCAGAATGTTATATTTAACTTTATCAACTAAGATTAATATATGGTTTTATAGTTTTACATTTATAATTTTACAGTATAGTATACTAGCATATAATTTAGACATTGATAATGCCAAAATATTTAATATTCCCAAAAATTTTAGTTATCAACGGGGAAGTTATTTTGGATTTTCCGTTGCCCTTTATACAGATGGCCTAGATTCTGTACTACTTGTAGGTGCTCCTAGAGCAAATACAAGCATAATACAAAATGTAATTGAGCCAGGTACTATATTTCAATGTCCAATTAATGAAACATGTAAGGAATGGATTATTGATAGAAGTGGAAATTATAAAGAGAAGGAGTATTCAACAATTAATCAAATTGAGGACAATGCATGGATTGGTGCAACAATTGCTATAGAAAATAAGACTAATCCTACAATTGTGGTATGTTGAAGTCTGTATTTCTTTTTTCATATATTTATCCTTAAAAACTTATAATTACTTAATTAAACTTGTAAGTAGGTTTGCGGCCCACGATTGAAGTATAATATTATAAATAAACGCCAATCTAATTGGTTTATGTACGGCATTTGTTATTTGTCATTAATTAACAGTATTAAGTCTTTCGAAAAAGAATCTAAAAGTAAAATTTTATCATTTGTGAGGCTTAGAGAAGCTATCGATATGAAAAGATATGTTTATAATTTTGGCATGAGTCAAGTTGGTTTTTCTATGCATATGACATCCAATGACCTAAAGTGGGATTTAATATTAGGTAGTCCTGGTGTATTTAACTGGAAAGGTATGCCTTTGTTGGTTACAAAATCAGTTGATGGTAAAATGCAAAATATAATTCCATCAATTAAAGATGAGGAAAGTATTCGTGCAAATAATTATTTTGGTATGTAACACAATTTCTTTTTACTACTAACTGAATATTTTTATAATATATATTTCATTATATATCAAATTATTATTATATATTATTTATTATTATTTTTAAATAAAGCCATTTTTCTTATCATTCCATTATAATTATTAAAAGAAGTAAAAGTAGCAAATGCATGTAAGTATCATAGAATTAAATGAAATTTTTATAATATTAATATTTGTATTTTCTATAAAAGATGTGTTTACAAAATAGTTGGCTTTATACTGATATTAACCACAATATATTAAACCTATAAATTAAGTGAAATAGTTTGTGTAAAATATTGTTGGTATATAAAATAGTAATTTATCATAATTTATTTAGGGTATGCAGTAACATCTGGTTATTTTAGAGAAGGAAAATTGTGGTTTGTTTCTGGTGCTCCAAAGGCTTCACTTATGTTTGGTGCTGTTGCTATATTTACCTTCTCTCATAACGATAATGCGAAATTAGAAATAAAAAAGATTTTGAATGGTGAGCAGTATGGTGAATATTTTGGTGCTGCTTTATCATCATGTAATCTTAATGGTGACAATAGAGATGAATTAATTGTTGGAGCACCATATTGGTCAAAAAATATGGATGAAGGTCGCATATATGTCTTTACTGCTTTACATAATGTATGTACATTTTGTAATATCGCTGAATTATTGCAGAAATAATACTTTGGCTTGAATATAGTAGTCTAAAATTCCTTTTAAAATCTGATTAAATAAGTGTTCAATTTATAAATTAGTATAGTATGTTAATATTAAACTTAATACACATATTGATCTCAAACATTGGTGGTAGGAAATTTTTGAAAAAAAATCATTTGAAGGAAAAATATCTGGAAGTAGATTTGGATCTACTATAACTTGTCTTGGTGATATTGATTATGATGGCTATGGTGATATTGCTGTTGGTGCACCATATGAAGAAGAAAGTGGTGCAATATATATCTTCAATGGCAATAGCAATGGATTACCTAAACATTATAGCCAAAGGATAGTTGGCAAACAATTTGGAAGGAATATCCGTGGATTTGGAATTTCAATTTCCGAACCTCGTGATATAAATGGTGATAAATATCCTGATATTGCAGTTGGAGCTTATTTATCTGAACAAGCAATTTTAATAAAATCAAAACCTGTTATAACAATAACTACAAAATTGTCTTACAATGACAAACAAAAATTATTGAGAAATTCTACATCTTTTCTAATTGATGTGTGTACATATTATGATGGAATAAATACTCCTAATTATCTTCGTAAGTATATAATTTAATTTTTATATACATATATAATGAAGTTATACATAATCTGGAATATCATATTTAATAAATGATATTACATTTAGGAGTTGTTAAATCTTTGAAAATCGACCAAATATATAGAAGAGCTTATTATGGTACAGAAAGAAATAGTGATAACATTTATAAATTGTCTGATACTTTATATAAATCTAAAAATCTATGCAGTCAACTTAAAATATATTTAAAGGTAAAATTTTATACCAGTATCTTTTTAAAAAACATTTTTTTAAATTATATTTTATTTTTTGATTTTGTTAGAAAAATATCCAAAATATAATAAATCCAGTTGAAATATCTATCTCAACTAGTTTAGAAAAGGACTTAAATTTAAATGATAGTAAGATGAAAGTAAACTTTCTCTGTACAACCTGTGTAGCTATAAATAAATTGTTTTCTAAAACTGAAGATTTAATAAAATTACCATTTGCTGTTGATTGTGGTGACGACAATATTTGTACATCAGATGTAAAGATATCACTTTCAACAAATTTAAATTCTAATAACAAATATGTTGTTGGATCAACATTCACTACCAAGCTTAAAATAGATGCTCTTAATTATGGTGAACCTGCTTATCAAGCTAAAATATATGTATATATACCAAAAATATTATCATTAGCAAGTATGCCAGCTTCATGCATGGAAAGTTTTTATACAAATAATACTTTAGAAGCAATTTGTGATCTTGGAAATCCACTTAGAAAAAATGTAAGTGTAATCTGTTAAGTATCAAGACTTTTTCAATAAAGTAACATAATTAATCATTTCTATTAGAAAACATTAATATTAGATTTGGATATGAGTAAAATTCGGTTTGATGTTGATCACGTGGAGCTATGGACCAATTTTAACACACAAAGTGAACAGAAAGATCCATTCAATAATACACATGTTTTAACTATATATTTTGATGTTGATGTTGACATAGTGATTGCAGGGTCAGTATCGCTAGATTTATTTATTGTTATTATTAGTTATACTTCATACTCTCTATAATTATATTATCATTTACTAACTACAATTCTTTTTTATTAGGAAAGCGCAAGATAATTTATATTCATATTCTACTGATAATGAGGATGAAAAATTAAACAATATTCGATTTCGACATATTTATGAAATTCAAAAATTTGGAGATAGTCCAATTGATGAAGTTATACTAACAATTAATATCCCAATATATTGGAAACATTCTACTGGAGATATACAGATTATCAATATAAACGAAACAATTAGTTATCTGGATGGTCAACCATTTTACTGCACACACTTGAATTCTACACTTTCAACTGCTTTAACTAATATATCTGAAATTTACTTTGCAAATACTGAACTGTATACACAAAAAGGATTTATGATGGATACCAATTTTTCTATAAATTCTCCGCCAGAAAACAGGTCAATTTATATCAATTGTACAAATGCTAATGTCAAATGTACATATATTAAATGTGAGCTTGGTCCCTTTCTAAGTTCTTCATCTGTTGCAAAACTTTCACTCATATTGGACTTTTACATATCTGATTTTAAAAGTAAGATTTTTCTTGATATGTATCTTGATTTAACTTTCAAGATATATTGAAAAATTTTACCGTTTCTTTTTAATATTTATTGCAGCAAAAATGATGGAAGAGAAAGACATAATATTTTTCTTGTCTAGCGGACACGTTAATATTTTAGAATCAAATCATGTTATGAAAAAAATTAGACACAAGTCTGATGATACTATTATTGCTACAATGTTCTTAGGTTCACCAGTAACTCAACACATTGCAATGTGGATTATAGCTTTGTCAATTGTCTTAGGAATTTTACTGTTAATACTGTTAATTTTAGCACTACTTAAAATTGGATTCTTTAATCGAAGTAGGAAAAAAGAACTTGAAGCATTAAAATCACAAACAGATGTAAGTTTTTTAAAACATTTTTTACTATATTATATATAGATATTACATTTAATGTATTTGTTACATTACAGAAGAGACATGGGAATACATTGGAAACATGTTCATGAACAGAAATTTTTCAGAAAGAATAAATTTATTAATATATAACTTTTATATATTGTATACATATATATATATGTATATATATATGACTTTTATTCTTCGCATAATTAAGAAAAGAAAATAAATAACAACAACTTACATTTTGTTATCGCATTTGAGTACTATTAGTATCTTTATAAAAATATAATAAATCTTAGAAAATATTAACTTGATTATAAATTTTCAACTACAAAGCTTAAAAGGATTGTATTATAAATATTGTTTCATTTTGTTTATAATCTTTACTTATGTTATGTAACATTCTGTGAAAATAATTCGAGCAAATTTATCATAAATAAATAATCTATATACAAAAATATTAATCTTTTTATATATAGCATGAGATTCTAGCAGCTTGTATTATAGTTGTGGTGCTTTTTATTGAAATATCTTGTGCCAAAAAAATATATAAATATATATATAATAGCTGCCTTTCATGTTAAATATCTTTAATACACAATCACATTGTGCACATATTTGCATATATCAATAACAGAGCATAAAATTTTCATTATACATAATTTTTTATATGAATTTTTATCTCAACTTACATTAGTCATCCAAACCTAAGCCTTTTGAAATTTCATCTGCTGTTAATTTATTTCCGGAAACAGGACTATCAGAAGATATAGGAGGTTGTACAGGCGGTGCAGAATTTGGTGTATAAGCTGGTGGAGGAGTTGGATGATTTTCTTCGTGAGATTTCTGTATGTACAATCATAATTATGTAATCAGATTATAAAACATATTCACAATTTTTAGAATATCATGGTTTATACTTACATCTTTGTCGTGTTTGGTAAGACCTCCTAAAGCAGAACTAAGAAAGGCTGATCCTATTCCAGATAAAAGATCTGAATTTGATGATTGATTAGAATATCCACCAGAAGGTTGGTAATTTCCGTAACCTCCTGAAGGTTGGTAATTTGGTTGTTGATTTCCACCACCTCCAAGAACACCACCAAGAATAGATCCTAAGGCTCCTGTCAATGGATTACTTGGTTGACTTGGAGGAGGTGGTGGTGCTGCATTATGCCCATTATTACCACCTTAGATATACAAAAATTTAATGTATTAAAATTTACTTATGAAGCATATAAAAATTTTACTTCAAATGCAAAATTATCTGTATTGTGTGTTTATCATGATTCACTATAACCTTTAACATAAATATAGCTTAGATGACATCATCTATGTCATCACCTAACATTCCAACACTCAATCATACAATTATGAACAAATCACTATATTAATATCTTCAGTTTGAAAGATTAAGAAAAGTATTATTTCATAACTTGTTCATGTTTTAAGCATAAAATGTATCTATATCATACCTAATGCTCCAAGAATAGAGTCTAATACACCACCACCACCGCTTGATTGTTGGATGTTGGTAGGGTAGCCTTGTTGCGCTTGTGAGTTACTTAAAGCATTGGTCACTAAACTGCTTGCTAAAGCTGCACCCAAAGAACCAAGATTTCCCAAACCACCTTCACTTTCTGTTTTTGATTTAGAAGCATCAGATTTTTCCTGATCATCTTGAACTTCTTTTTTTTTCTAAAAAATTATAAACATAGCATGCATATAACATATGTTATTATTCTTAGTATCTTATACAGATATTATTGTATGCTATTATTTCCAAAAGACTTGTAATTATTAAATTTATATACACTCATAGCGTGTGCAGCAGCTGCTATGCCTCCTGCTGCAACTAGTCCCCCTATTGCTAATCCAACTTTATCCAAACAACCACTAAATGCTTCTTCTTCTTCAGGCTTCTCATATCCAGGCTGATATCCATATGCTCTTGGAGGATTATAACCAGGTCCTCCATATACACCAGGAGGAGGCCCATACCCAGGAGCTGGAGGTGGTGGACCATATCCACCTTGTGGTGTTTGTGGACCTATTGTAGGATATAATCCTCCAGGTGCTAAAAAATGACATAGAATTTATTATGCAATTATTTAGTGACAGAAAAAGGATATAAAATGCTTAATTACGTGGTGGTCCAAAATTAGCAGTAGGTACATCTGGCGTGGGTACAGCTCGAGGAGAACGAGGTGGATCAATTGGAACGGTCTCATATGTGATAGATTGTACTTCTACATCTCCATCAATAACCAAATGTGTTACTTTCTCATATGGTAGCCTATGAACAAATTCTGCAAAATGTCTGCCATTTATGGCAATCTTATAACATGGAAAATCACACAAAAGGAACATCTCAAATTCTTGGCCGGGTTGTATCCACATGGGGCCATCATTTTCCTCTGGGCCCCAAGTCATTGATACTATATGATTTCTAGTAATAAATCCTTCTGCGAAACGTGGTGAAACATGAATGGCAATATCATCTCTTGGATTTAATGTAGGTCCCAATTGATAATTTACAGCAAAACGTACAGCATTAGGAGGAACTTTGCCTCGAATTTTTACCATTTTTCCAGGTATTAAACCACCTTCAACAGCTCCCACATAAGGAATTGGCTATTAAAATATAAAGGTATTTATTATTTAAACGCAAAACTTCACAATTCTGAAATTAAATTGTACTGCATTTAGAAAAATCAAAAATGCATTACATATCATTGTATAAATTGTTCATTAATATTTTATCCAACTTTTTAAATTGAAACTATTACAGATCTTTTGATCTCTTTTAACTTATACAATATTATTCTCATATACTTGTACAGTACTTGTAAATAATCTAACGAATTAACAAATATAGTTGGATAAGTGTTTGGATAAATTATGTTTCATTGAGATCATATCAGCAGTGCAGATGCTATGTATATATATATGTATATCCTTCCTGGATCGATGACAATCAACTTTGCCAAATGAAATAACTTTTTAATCGATGTAAATAATACTTACAGGATCCAAAACTGGCTCAAATGACATCTTTATTGTTTAATTATATTTCGCAAATTCGAATAGAAGTTTATAATTCAACGCACTATTTTAAAATAGCGAATACTGCGTACACGAAGAAATCTTGTGAGTTGTCTTTCGTGTCTTCTTTTTAAAACATTTCTATTTAAAGTGGTGACGTTTCCAGCTTAAACTGTGCAATGCGGCACAAACTATACTTATATGATACGGCTTGAAATATATGATACATAGTTTCTTTGGCGCATGCATTCTCAAATTCCTTACAGTTACTGTAGTGACGTACAGCTCGTATGGTAGTGCCGTAATATAGAAAAGCCGCGAATTCAAACTTATCTCGTGCAGAAATAGAACAAACCAATCAAATTTCTTTATATTTTATTTAAACCAGAAACACGTGGAACCAGTTATAAGAAAGTAATGACATGATGTAACACATTCACAATATAACCAATAAGTTATATATTTTTTATAACTCCTATTAGACGATTACAAATACATTTCAATATAGATAATGGCTAGATTGCAAATTTTTCTGCATTTATGGAAAATTTAAAAATACAGAAACGTGCGAAATGCATATTATAAGCGAAAGTACATAATATATGTAACGTATAATATTCACTGAATTATTTAACGTATGAAATAAATCGCTGCAACAAAACATCCGCAATAATATCCTAATAATAATTTAAAATAGTCAAAAATAGAAATTAGTCTTAAAGTACATATAAACAATTTCTAATAATTTATTCTATCTACATATATTCATTATTAGTGCATTGCACGAATCGGGTTAATAACTGTGAGGTTATTAACCCTCTTTATTTAATCGAAGATTATAAAATAAGTTCGTCAAGATACAGAAATGTCATAAATTACAAATTTCAATCCTGAGTATCTTTTATATATTAGGCTATAAACATTGTACGAAACATTTCCACTTTTATGGAGGGCGGCGCGCTATAAACTGTCTCCATTGAAATTATTGCTTAAAGGTTGCGCAATTAATTATTGGAATAGTTACACGCGGACACACGCACGTATTATCGCCTACGTTCATTTTCGTCCACGCATTGTTTAACACTACAGGAAACTAAATAAACCGTCCATTGAGATATAACAGGTTCAGTGAGAGAGAGAGTTTTTGCGTAGAAAAAGTAAACAGTTAAACGGGAGCAAGTTAATAGTGAACAGAACCGCTGTATCAATGTAAATCAATAAAATCGATGATGAAATACGGTAAAATTCTATGCATAGGTTACTACTTAACCTTAGACCGTCATAAAATTTCAAAGGAACGAAATTTACGCTTATTTTACAATTTCTTATAACTGTAATAATTATTTCAAATTATTTTATTTGTTTTTAATACAAGATGCAATTACTGTCCTGATGTTATTTCTTAAATAAAAGTACCAGAGTAATTGAAACGATCGACTACTGTTTTAAATTGCTATTCTTCATTTTTATCTTAAACAAAATTTGTCCAGGTCTGGCTTGCCACTATGTATGGGTGACGAACGTCAATCGGATATGTAAGCAGACGTATTGTGACTACAAGTTGTGCATTTTACGTGATCACTTCCAGGGATCACATACAGGGTGTGCCGCTATGAAACGTATGTGGAGCGTGCGAGGGCTAGGCACTGGCGCACCCACTATAAATAAGATTTAAATGTAACGATTCAACCGAATTATCGTCAATTTTTGTGCGCCACTTTATACAATTTTCACGCTTAATCAATCTTTTCAACAGCTGCCAGTATCCTTTTATTTCGTTGGTGCAACATTTATAGTAATTGCTCAATAGAGGAACAGATGCATAACCATAAGAAAAAATCAAACATGTGGGTGACCAAAGAATCAACCGGTTGAAAATTTACTCGTATAATTCAAACTCGTATAATTACGTATAATTCATTACTCTATGAGAATGTCCTTGTCTGGTCTAAAGCAAACTGGATATCAGGATCAATAAAGGTTTTCCTCTATTTTTACCTATGATGATTGATACATTTTTGATAACCTTTATAATAGAATAAATACGTTTATTGAAAACAATGTGTTCGAACATATTAACTTCTAATTAACTTCTTTTGGCAAATGAGTAAATATATTTTTATTTTCATGTTTATACCGATATATAGAAATGATATACAGTGAAGAAATATTTGTTAAAGTTATTTTATTAAGACAGATATTCGTTAAGAGACATAATGATGAAAATATTCTTTCCTGTTGAAGATATTGGTAGGTATAGGACTGAACCAATGCAGGACTCACCGACAAGATCAATAAGCAAGGTAAGCGGACCCTTCTTCGCAAGGCATTCAATGCTTTCTTATAAACGCCCTTTCATGTCGCCTTTATACTGGTCTTATCCTTACAAAAATCCAGGTGTCTGCTATTGCAAGAGTGGCCTATACACAACATGTACATTACATACATATATACGAAGTCGTCAACGAGAAATGTTCGTAAATACGATTGTATCTTGTAAAAGCAACAACTACGTTCTATATACTTGATCCATAGTGCTAATTTTTATAAAAATATACTGAATTGGCACACCTGTTGTGCTTTTTAAAAATATGCAACATTGGGTATATGCATAATATTTTACTATTTTATATGCACCATATAAATTAGGACTTTATCTGAAAAGGCAATAAAAAATTTAACACAAAGGTAAGGTTATTATTTCAGAATCAATAATCTATCAATACGGAACTCAATCGCCAAATCAGTGACTGGCACATCTAAAAAATTTGCAAATCCAGCTACGCAACGGCGCGCAATGCAATTTATTCCTCTTTTGTAAGCCCAACAATGTTTTATTTTTTGACAATCTTTTTTCGTCGAGTACTATTTGTTACATGTTTTGTTTAATACATCCCAGTCGAAGAAGTGGTACGAATATTGGCATCTGATTTGGGATTGGAGTTTCGTGCATACAATGTATATGAACGGTTACACGTTTAAGCATTCGTACTCTGAAGCATGTATTCTTTTTTCTAGGGTTCTTAGCTGCTGAACAGTAAAAGTACGCACGTGAGCGCGTTGCACTAAATGCGAATAGACTGAAGACCGATCGCTAGTCCTGATAGATTATATTTTATATACGGTACTTTCAATAGTAATTCCCTTTTAAGGATTCAAGTTAGTATCTTTGTTTAAAAGAAACTTGATAAGAAGCTCGTTAAAATTTATCATCGCTTCGAGGACAGAGAACCGTATTAAACGTAACAGGTACATATTGTAACAGTTTAAATACCTCGCGAAAATTCTTTAATAATGTAATTTAAAATGAAAAATTATTACGTTGTCCAACATCAATACGATATAAAACCAACCATGCCTTGAGCACAGATTAAACAATTGTTGGCGGCAAAAATATAAGACAAGTACGAATTGACATAAATGATACTGTAAATTACGGTAGCGGTGATTGAAGTAGCAGCTAGGGGTGAACTGGTTATTGGGGAGTTTAGAAAAATTCCTGGTTGCTCAGTATTTGGGGCCGTTTTACGTAGGATTTGATTAATGAATTAAGAACAGGAGACCGGTCATGTCGGTAATCTTCCGGTAAAAATTTAAGTCCCAGTCCGCCCCTGGTAGCAGCAGTAGAGAACAGTGGTGGTAGTGGTGCTGCCTAATACTCTTTTCAGCCCTCGGCCGACAGTTCAGCACAGCCCGTAGTCTTCGACGGTTGCACGTCGTTCAATCCGGCACACTTTTATAACCATTGCACACTTCCTACTATCTCATTCACGTTTTATAAACAATGCGACAATCCACGGTTTCTTAAACGAACATTTCTCACTTTTGCCGATTCGTATCTCCGTAATTACGATGCAACCAGCTGATTTGTTGAGAAAATTAAACGTGACTGAAAGTATTTTGTGCCAGTGAATCTGAACATGATATTTCAAAGGATTTGACCGAGAAAATGGATTTTATGCCATGGATTGTCTAAGTGTCCAACAAGAAGAAGTAATGGTGAGGAAATATTTTATAGTCTTTGTATTTACGACGTGCGACATTTTGTGCGGGAAATATCAGACAGGATAAAGGTATTATTGTAAAATCATTTTTCTAAAGAGATATAACATCCTGGGTACTTTTATCGTTCGTTTTGCAATAATGTGAATAACATACTTACTTTTGAGATTAGCTTTTGATAACTTTCCCCTCATCGTTTTTTCCTTGGTTTTCGTAACAAGGAAACAGATAGATAATTCGGTCAAGTCAAAGGTTAGCTGGAGATAAAGTGTTCTTCCTTGAAAATGTATAACGAAAAAATGACTTCCGATAGGAACGCCTTACTTTTGATCTTTGTTCAAAGATTAACTTGTCGATGTAACATCTTTAAATAAATGTTGATGTAACATTTTTATTCGTCATAATATTGAAGATAAGAAGGCGAATACGCGAAAACATTTTCTTATTAATAGACGGCGGACGTTTATGAATTTATAACAAAGTTGAAATGTGCAAAAATGCATAAAATACATATAGTGTGCAAGAACATTTCTTTAATGATGTATAGGAAAATTTAAATTTACATAAACATTCGCAGTTTACTTGTTAATCATGTCTGGTGGAAAACAGATTCCAACATTAATCGTTAATTAAAACGAGATACTATGATTTCCTTCTTGAACTATCGAAAATTACTCTGAATTATCGAAAATTCAAATTTTCTTCATTTACAACTTTCGTAAAAGTTAAACTTGATGTCTTTGTTAAGACGATTTATGCTTTGTTGCCTTCGTTCATTCAATGTTTCCTTGGAAAAGCATGAAATACAGGTGAACTGATCTAACAATTGATATTGTATCTCTATTTGTGACAATTGTTAGCTACCAATTTGTAGATAAACGTAAAATATTCGGTATTGCGTAGCTCGCTCTACGATTGTAGTTCTCTAGCTAATATCTTTCCTCGAAACGTTCATGCAACCGTACAAAATGCACGGAAAATGGGAAAAGTCCACCTACGCTTAATTTAAACTCTGCCAATGATATTTGTTTCCTAGCAGCGAGTGGTCGCGCTATAAAATTGCAACATTCATACACTTTTATAACCAACCTTGACTCTATGTAGTTCAATATTCTCGTCGTTATTCTTACAATACACTTGGTTCGCGTCTTCTTCTTCTTCTTCTTCTTCTTCAGAGTCTTCTTCGGAGTCTCCAGAAATGACGTAATTGCTCAAGTAGATAAACCGTGTCCGCTTTCTGTCATATCGCGTTCAATACCTTAATTAACTTTACGTTTTACGTCTTCAACAGTTTTGGGGCCAATGTTCATTCGGTATCGATCTTTTCCTTCGATCCTTAGGAAAAACAGGAACAAAATTTCGCTCTTGAAACGAGGACGCAATCAGCAGGAAGATATTCGGCGATGCCACCTTGATTCAAAAACATGTCCAAGACGTCCGTGTTTCGCGTACAGGGCCTTAATTGAGCTTAATTAACGATTGTCCGTCTTTGTCATCGGGCCGTGACTCACAGCGAATGTAGCTTCTCGTATTTGTCTCGTTTTTTCCTTCACACTATTCTTTTACTTGTACTCGGTAATTTTTCTTATGTTACTTCTTTTATCAGAGTTGCAGGTCTCCTAACAGGCTTTGATATTAGAAATACCGCTGAGTCAGCAGTGCCGGTCGTACTTAAATATTAAGACGCTTGTTGTACGTATTTAGCACAAATTTAATGCCTTTCGCTGCTCTTATTTCCCAATTATTCTATTATCAGACTGTGAATGTTTTGTGCAACTATAGAAAACTTGAAGGCGCATGCAAAAATGCACATAGTGCGCATAATACGGGCAAATTTATGAAATACCCAAATATAATAGTCATTGGAACATACGTATAGCAAGTGAAATAATCGTCTCCGATTCAGATTTCATTTTTTCAATTGTATTCGCGAAGATATTAATTTACATAGATGTTCACAGTTCATTGCGAAATATGTTTTCGTGATTAATATAATTAAATATAATACTGAAAATAGAGTATTCAATATGCAATATAATATTCATACAATAAGTTGTTGTGTTCATTGGAATGTAAATTTGCATGAACATCCACAGTCTGTCTATTATAAATCATTCTCGTATACGCTTCATAAAATGTGCAAATGTAAATGTAATAGAGTCGATAAAGAAAAATTTGTTGAGGTTTATCATTAAACGCGACGAACAGGCAGGTGTCCTGATATAACTGGCAGTGAGTGTTCATCGAATAAACATTCACAGATTCCCTGCGAATTTTTTAATCAAATCTATCGCCTAATTCGCTTCAGTGGTTGTCCATTCGATCGAACATAGCGAATACGGGAAAATATGAGGTTACACAAATAGATACGGGTATTTTGTCTGGATAACACGGATCGTTTCGTTTGTTTGAATCTTTTCGTTTATAGGTGTACTGGACTATTTTATCGCCATCCTGTTTCCATCAAAATACGCAGATTCAAAACCTATAAATAATTTTTGGAAATCGTTTCCATCACATTTTTATTGGTTTAATATTTCTATGGTCGGTTCACTAATTATTTCTGCGTTTATATGAAACGAATATCGTCTAATATGTATATTATAACGATTAGAGAACATCGTTCGCTTTACGCATTTTTATACCTAAGTTGAGCCAAGTTGGCGAGCACAAGAGGGTAGCGAGGGATGAATCACTCCCGAAATGAAATGAATACGCACGATCGATATTAAAACCACTCGTTTCAGAGCGGATCATATATTTCCTGTGCAACCTACGACATTAAAATACTACTCTATCTTGAGAAACAGATGCGAGGATAATATAACGTAATTACACGTCCTGGCCATCGATTTACGTTGTAATTTTCGCCTCTAATGTCTTCGCGATAACTAAACGAGATATATTATATTATTGTTATTATTATTATATAAAAATTCATTAACATTCGCGGTCTAGTTATTAGCAACTGAAACGAGATTTACAGTTTGTAGCGCAGTTTGGTACATTTCAGCTAGTAGGTCTTGGCCCTTTAAGTTGTCTCTCAAGCTGCGTTTTATGCTTATAATAATCTTCTTAATAATAAAAGATAGACGATAGAACTTTCCAATTAGCTAATAATTATCTCATTAAGAGGAGTATGTTGTTGAACGTACTTGCATATTTTCACAGCATCGTACTATTCAATAACGCAGCGGAAAAAATTGCTTGACGCAACGATTATACAGCTGGGAGAATATTTAAAATGTACACATTGATAAAACTCGTATTAGGTACAAAGGGGCCCTTTTAAAACTCACCTTGGATGACGATAATACGACAATCGTTATCGTTCATATGGTACTGTCCCACCGGTATTCTTATCCCGTAATCTTGCATATACTTCCGGTTGCGACAGTCATTATACTACTATGCGTATGGAATAAGTCTGGGTAATAAAGAAAAGGTATAAAAACCGTGGACAATGGAGCGCAATTAAAAGCATAAAACCATAGAAGATTAAAAAGAGATATCTTGCAAGTAACGATTGGAATAATTATATAATTGATTCGTAGCTTCGATAATCTAGATATCGTTATACATTCGGTAAGCAATATTACGAAAGATTCCCAAATAATCACAAATTGCTTATTTCTCTATGCGATTATGAAACAACAAAATTTGGGGGATACGTTGCAAGTATTTTGAAACGATCGGACGATTAATTCGCAGCTTAAAATTTAACGATCTCTCGAACGCTGTTGCACATCGATTAACGAACATTCCAAAGGATCAAATGTTTAAATCCAGGGACATTAATCGAAGAGTGCTCGTAGGAAACACTGCGAACGCGAAAATGGAAAATCTTCGACCTTTTAATGGAAAATGTTCTACGAATGAGAATAGAGTTTAAGTACAATTTTCCTTCCTAAATAGATATCAGTAATTCTAGAAAATGGTGTCACGACGTCGCCTCTGTAGAGAAAGATATAGTCATCAATGAGCGCTGATTAATTGTATCGCGATTTTTTCCTTTGCTATCTAAATGACATCTAAAAACATTCCAGGTGAATGATCCAAATGAATGAAACATTCTTTTTATTCTTTTCTTTACGACTAAGAGGTCACATATACCGGGTTTTCCACAAATACTTTGCTTTTCCATGAATTTCGACTACACGAATGCGCGAGTTCTCTTTCGCTCCTGAGGAACTCGTTCCGCGAAGCTCACAGCGTTTTCTACAAGCACTTTTCGATCGTATTTCGAAGACAAGCGTGTAGCAACGAACTTGACAAGTTTCGTGTTTGAATTTCAAGCAGCAGATAAAAGCGGAACTCTCGTAAGAACAGCGGAATCTCGATCATCGTCGAAGATGTCGAAGAAGAGGCGTTAGCATGAGCCACACCACTGCATTCAGAGTACTGACGCTGATCCTGATCCTCGGTGATCTCGAGTCGATCACGGTGGTGAACCACCATCCGGACGAGGAATACTTTCTCGAGCACGAGGTCCTCTGCGAGGAGGCAATTACGGAGGCGAAGAAGCTGCAGCTCTATCCTGGTAGGAAATTTACGCGTTTCGCTCTCGATACTAAAAGCGTTACACATGCCAAGCCCCTTGTCCGACTTCATTCTAACGTCTGGTCTATAAAGCATCTTTACGAAGCACCGAAATCTATTTATCTTTCCTCCGAGAATAACCTCCCTTTGATCCGTTTAAACGGATACTTGGGCCACGTCCACCTACCGCGAATTAACTCGACGAATTGTCTCGTTTTATTAATTTCGTCTTTGTCTTGCCACTTTGCAGCCGGTACGGACAAGAAAGGTATTCGATCGATTCGAACGATCGTCGTTCTAATTTAGGCTCAGTATGCTTGTCGCACGCCAGGATCCAAAGGCCACCTTCTTCCTTGATGCGATCGTTACCTGAAAATAATTGCTCGAGAGACAGGAACGATGTTGCGATTTTCAAACGTAAGCACCGCGTATCGTCGACAGGAAATAGAAATCAAGGTTACTCGGTTTTGTTTGACAATTTCAGCTAGCCGGCTATTTGTAACGATACACAGGATTCTAAGAAAAGTTGTATCTCCGATGGTTCCGCGAAGTTATCCTTGCATAAATAGATCTCTGTCATTTTTTATTTGCACCGAACTACCGATTTTCCCGTTACTCGCTGCGTTCGCTCGTTTGTTTTATTCCATTTAGACTATTTGAAGTTATTCTTGTGGAAAATAAAGCGCGATTTACTTTATCTTATTTCGTGATGTTTTATAAGCATTCTGAATCGAACGACGTAAAACGAAATATTCGTACCCAGTCGGTTTGATAAATGATAATAAATGTTTTAGGTGACATAACGTCGGTATAGCGTTCAACATCAACGACATAATTTCAAAGCAGTTGCATAAAACCTGCAGCCACCAATTAACGTGAATTACACTCGTACTCCCTCGATTTGATGTGATTATCGTTTGTTTTAATAACAGCTCTACGAAACGAGGATAATGAAATGTAACTCTGAATCGGTCGTACAAAATTGTTATTTCTCATTTCAAGGAACATGGTGTCCTTACTGCAGCGTAGTAGAAGGCTACCAGCTCTGTGTTCTTCTTCCAACTCGCCACAACGTGATTACCCGCTTGATAGCAGTAGCAGCGGCAGCAGCTTTCCATTATAATTCAATTTTAATATTCATTTTTTGATCTACATTGACGGATACGAAGATGTTGCAATTAATTTAGAGATCGAGGTTTTATTTAGTGGCACAAATAGACGAAATGTTTCATCGAATAGAAGAAATATACTTTGACGAATTTCACAGGTCCTATCCCAGGATGCAAGCCCTGCACCAGATCAGAGATGACTTACTGCAAAGATGGAAGCGTGATAAATGATCACTGTTGTTGCGATGGCAACTCCAACGGTGAGTAAAATTTATAACAACGATAAAAAGCAAAATATGCGATATCGATGTTTTTTATTAGTCTTCTATAACGAGTCAATAATTATAGCAATAATCGGAACAACGATACGATAATGAAATGTTTGAATCGAAAGGATCTTTTAGAAATTCTCGCAATTCAGACTCTGAGGTTTCTTTCTGTTTCAATTTTCTATCGTGAAAATTTCTGTGACGCATTGCCGCTATACAAAACTTTCTATATTGCATAGTACGCTGCGTTTAATGTTGCAATAAATATAGAAAATGGAACGATCACGTTGATTTCTCATCAGTTTCGCTTTTTTTTCAATTACATTGCTCGTATTTTAGGCTCGTCCTTCGTCGATTTACGTGCATATAAGAATCGCCTGGAAAACGACAATCGCGTGCAGACAATTCGTGCGTGAAGAATTGACCGTGCAAATGCTGGTGGTTTGATTGTGCAACTTTTCACGGAATTTTCGAGCCACGATAATAGACCCTGAAATTGTCGTAATACTTGCAATTTCTACAACCGTGTAACAACTACAGTACAATTCCAATTAGAAAATACGAGGGAAATGCACGTTAATTTCCTACGTAGCAAACATAAGTAACGCGATATTATTTATTTTTAACAAAAACGACAAGACGCGCCAAAATATGCGTAATCTATAAGCGAAGAAGTCGATGGTTGGTAGGTTGCCGCAGAACTTGGCCCAGTTGTTCCCCCCGCGTGAGAATGACGCGTGAATTCGTGAAACACCTTCGAATCCAGCTGAACGGAAGGACAATCACCTGTTCAGGAAATCATCGTTGTTCGTTCGTAACGATAGTTCATCGTAACGATCTATCCTTGTCAGACACGCGCTTCTAAATGCGCTGAGACGCGCAGGGTGGTTACACATACCAGGTGATTCACGCAAAACGACCGGCCGTTAACAGGGACACTTAGGTATTCCGCGCATCCGTCGTCCCAACTCTTTAGTACTCTTTACGTAGTTATCGGTCGTTCACCTCTAACACCATTTGCTCGAATTTCTAATTAGCATAGTTTCTCCGATGGCCTTGCTTCTCACACACGGACAAAAGCGCAATTGGTCTGCTTAAAATCAGTTCCTCTTTCTGTCTATCTTTGTCATTATATTTATTGCCTTGTAATTGGTAATTGGTAATTGGTAGATTGCAGATATCACGATTATCGATTTGGTTTTTTGAAAATATATTCATATTTACAATTAAACGTCTGTTACAGAAACACGTGCAGTATATTGTCTTCAGAAAGGTACACGTAAAAGGGAAAAATACCAGAAGATAGATTATCGAGTTCGGTGAAATTAGTAAATTAGTCGACGGGTAAATTTCAAGTACTTTGAGAAGCAAATAGATATTTAAAAAGTTATCTTCACGGTTAAATGCATTTCTGTGTCTGGAACGACGACGAAGATAATTAACCGTTATATCGCTGAAACACCGTGTAGCGAAACGCTGACAATAAAATGTGTGTCATACTAAAAATAAACGAATACGTAAAAGGATAATTTATTTTATATTGCACAGGGCGTATCGTAACACGTGGGACCCGCTTCAGGACTGGACAGAAGGCACAAAGACAACGAAGAAAGTTCGTACAAACACGTGCTGCTCTATCTGATCTTATATAAGTTGCATTATTTTATATTTTACATACAAAGGCATTTTCGTGGTTCACTAATCCGTAACTGCTTATCTTCGCAGAAGGTGCTCGAGATGGCTATCCTCGGTTATCTTCTGTCCTGAAGCGGCTCCCACGTGTTACGATTTACCCTGTATATTAAGTGTACGAATGAATAGTCCAAATTTTTCACTCTAACTCGAGGTTTAGTCTTAATAAATACTTTAAGTCAATACTTTAAGGGCTACTGATAGATCCACCATGGAAAAATGGAGTGTCTTTAAACAAGATCCAGTGATCAAGGCATTGACAAAGGCCATCGACAAAGCAGTTAACTGGTTAAGCCATCTGCTTTAAAGTTACAAGATAAATCAGGAAGATATAGAATAGAAAGTTTGTAGAGTACATTGACTGAACTTGAACAACTGACGTCGATTGAACGACTTGCTGTATTTTTAAAAAGTAAGCTTCGAGTTTCATTGAAAAATTGCGATTGCTCGTTTGCACATCTAATAAGCATCTCTTTAGTCAAAGTGCAAGGTAAACAACGCGAACGATTCCCGTACAAACCGTAAGCAATTCTGTAACGATTCGTTTGTTATAATAGTTTGACCACAATGTTCATCGTTAAATGCTCGTCGAGCGTACACGAATGGTAACGGCGACAGTAGCAATAAAATTGCGTTGCTGCACGCATCGCGTGCACGAATCGAATACATGAGTCCATTTCGATCAGTCTTATGAATCACACGTTCTTCTTTGCCCATTTCTAATCAACCGATTCGATTACGCAGAAGTTACAATACGGTAAATAAGAGTATGCTAAAAGTAACGGAATACGTGCACGTAGTCCCGTATTAGTCCAACCAAAAAATCTGAATTGTGCGACGTATTTCTTAAATGGAATTTCGAATTTTAGTTATCGTAGTCAAAAGACAACTTTTTACGAATACACATCTCGCAAACTAAGGTCGAGCGACGATTACAAAATGTACAAATAATTGCACGAGAATTAAAATTAGTAATCAATAGTAATTATAAAATATTGGCAATGGGAAAAAGTTGTCCAAAATTTTGATTTCTACGACATATACAAAGATTATGGAAATCGGTAACTTCCTATTTAAAAAATGAACTTGAGGTTGAAATTCCTCCTCTGCTACCGCAGCTAGGGAAAAGTTATTAATACAATTCCTTGTCGCGTTAAACAGCTTCCGTAAGAACTGCCTTTCCGATATCCTTGATTTTTAATGACTGACAAGATATCCCAGCGATATTCCACTTGAAAGATACCACCCTGTGTATAATCCTTTTAAATTGATTATAAGGTTTCTCTGATTCGTCGAAAGTCTGTTCCTGACACTCAACAGCCTATTGTTTCAGAGGTATTCCCCTTCGTGAAGCACACTTGTCGCGTGGGGCCAGAAGAATGCGAAGTACAAGCTGGAGACTGTGCTGAATACGCGAGGCTACGGGAATGCTGCTGTCATTCCTACTTAGCTTCTGTATGTAAGTACTATTTCTCCGCTTACGTATTATGGTGAAACGTATTGTCGAGCTAGACGTCGTTGCGTAAGCGCGAGTAATCTAATATCTTCTGTTTGAGATGAGCACAGAACTGAAATTAGCGTAATTCTATAATATAATTAACGAAAGAGCAGAGGAGGAAAGATCATTTTTCTCACAGGGAAAGTACAGTGCCGTGAGTATAATATAAAATGCCGTGTTAAACTCAACTCTATTTTTAGACGTTCGAAATGCTATTAAAAGAAAAATTGGCAAAATCGTTTCTATAATTTCATATCACAATATAAAGTTACAGTACTAGTGAAATAACAGTAACTTGTATAAACTTAAGATCTGCTTTCAATCTTTTGAAGTCTGGAAGAAACGGAATTTTAACATATCCATGATCTTCTTTGGTAACATCGAAGAGATAACGCAGTGAATGTGTTTGAGTCTATAATTATTCACAACGCTATATATGCCTTTTGTTAAAAATTAGGTATTTGGGAAAACAACTCGTTATTAATTGGACTGCACAGTTTTATGCATTTGTGAGAAATTTGAAGGTGCAAAAATGCACCGGATGAGTAACTTTATCTGAGATATTACATAATTCTTAAAATCTGTTCCTGCATCGATATAATTGACAACTGTGTTTTTTTTCAGGGAAATACTTGGCGAACGACGCGGTATCACCGACGAATACACACTTTATAAAGTTCCTGGCGATATTAACGGTGCTCAGGTGGCTCTCATAGCCGACCTAAAATTGACAGTACACATTTAATACCAAATATTTTTTGTATAGGACGAGTTATTTTAATAAATTATTTTCCCATCGGCACGGGAGAAATTTAGAGGCCAACAAACGTTTCTAACATGCAACAACGAAGTGAAATTTCTAATAATTTGATAAAGAATTTTTGCGGCTTCACCTGTACATATGAGAAAGTGTAATTGTACAAATAATGAACATTGTCCGACGGCAACATTTGTATTTTAATGGATGAAATGCAACAAACTATGTACAAACGCGTACCTAAGAGCCTATTTCAACCTCATCCTCTTCTTTTCTTACGGATGTGATGCAATACCGCTTAAACGACGGTTGCCTAACTATAAACATTATCAGCACAAAACGATTGCACGTAGAAATGTACCAAATCGAATTGTTGCAGCATTGTCGGTTCTCGAGAGTAAAACAAACGATTTCCCATAAAATGAACTCGTTGGAAAAAATGAAGGACGAATGTTATCGAACAGTCTTAATACGCAACAAGTTGCACCAAACTTTGATATGTACTTCTGCCCATCATCTGCGATGTACGAAATACGCGATCATCGTCTGACAATTACCTCGCAGCGGCGAACAGCGACGATTAATATTACTCTCGATGTATGGACGAATCCAAGATTTTCTTTTCTACGTCATCGAACGTAGCGACGCGGAAAGAAAGCGTCTTTCTCATCGCTCGATATTTTAATAACGGGACAAAATGTATCGTTACTGAGCCCTATGTACACCGAACATCGATGTAAACATATCGCCATGTCTGATAAACTGCGTTTACGCTTCCTGAAAGGCAAGTCTTTATTTTTGGCGATTGGCAATTGCGAAATTAAACCGGATCCGTGCAATTCGACTTTCATCTGTGTCCTTGACGCGCCTCCGCTCGCGGTTTCGTCCTTATTCTCTCTCAAAATTCGCTCTACCTCCAGACACGCTATCAAAATGTCAATGTAAAAAAGAAAATACACGCTGCAGCAGATTCCGTGGAAAATTATCAAAGATATGTCTCGATATTCGTCGAAGATTTTCTCAGCGAGCGATATCGTTTCCTCGTTTTCTTCTCTTTTTCGTATCAGCTCAGGAAGAGAGGAAGATCTGGATCTGTTACGAGTAACGGGTACTGGTCGACCGTATTTAAGCGATCCTCCCGTAAGCAAGCAGAGCTGCGTGTGTGTCAATAAACGTTGCGTGGGTTTTAAAAAGAAATCAAAGTAGGATCCACGCTTATTTCTTCGGCTCAGTCTGTCCGTGTTCGAAAGCGTTAGACGAATGTGTGACAAGACGATTACAATTGAAAAAATGCATATCCTAACTGTGATATTCGCCGGCATTGTGACGCTATTATCGCACGTTCCTACCGCATCGAGTAAGTACTACGAATTGACACGAAAAAGTTTTAGTTAAAATCGAATATACCCACTTTCGTTGGTTGTTCGCAACTCTATCGATCAGTCTAACAGATTATTAGTAGTCAGTGGATTTTTGTGTATTTGTAAGAATTTCTAGAGTGCAAAATTGATCAGAATGTACGTAATATGAGAAAATATCTTGAAAGCGTAAAGATTGTAATAGTTCAAAGACTTTTTTGGTTTCTAATTAGCTATTAAAAAATAGTTGTTTTGTTTTAAAGTTCAATTCGTTCAAATTTCCTACTCTATTCGTTAGTTATCAAGTTTGTTCAATTTAAAATTTACGAAGGAAACTGATGGTAACATTTTATTAACAACAGATGGTAAAATAGTCGGTTTCATCTTAAATACACCGCCAATATGCGAAATATCATTGTTTTAATATTAAAAATTGTTTTAGCAATTTGTAATAATTAAAATATTAAAGTATCGGTATTTGATAATTGACAAACTATTTATATTTTTGATAATTTATATTTCTTTTCATAATTCACCTCGGCAAGGCGAGCAAAGCGCCATGGCGGATGGCCAACCGAAAGGGGCCAAATTGGCATTATCGCCCACTTCGTCGTTACAAACGGAAACGTATCAAGACAGCATCGATTATTACAATTTCCCAATCGACGATACGTACAGACCGCTTCAGAACAAGTAAGTATATAGGTTTTTCTAATCATATGATAACATATTTTTTAAATTTCCTAGAAAAATTTTTTTCTTAATTTCCTATTACAATTCCCCAAATTATAGCTCGTTTATTATATATTATATTTCAAATAAAATTACCGAGCCAATGTTCTTACGCTTAGGATTTTACGTTATGATCTTCTGTCACTAAGAATTGTCTTTATTTTCCAGAAAATGTCCACTATGCGACAGCTCGGTCTATCCCTATTGCGGAGAAAAATTGTTGCACGACGCGTGTTGTTGCACCAATCCCTATACTCACGACTTACCCTATCAGTGTAAATTAGCAGATTGCCGATTTTTACATGCAAACAGTTGCAGGGAACATCGATTAATCGCAACCTGTTGCTGCAGCGATGATTATCGGTTTTTATTGAAAAGTTTCCCGAACGCTTAACAAGCGTTAACTGCCAGGCGAATTTTCCGAAATCTGCCTATTTATTTTCATCATTTTATATCATAACATGGTACAATAAAAAAGAAAAATATCGTTAACGAGCGAAAATGAGTGAAATCGTCATAATACCTAAAAGAAATTAATTCGTCTTAATTAATTTTTACTTTCCTATGCAAAAACGAACGCGAAATCTGTCGGCCCTTTGATATCACTGGGCCACGTGACACAATCACCCGTTTTTTCGTTGCAAAATCTTTCGCGCGTTACTGTTCCCATTTTGTTATCAATTCGTAAAGTTACCACTGTAACGTATCAGTACGTTTCCCAGCATTTGAGATTTGTAACAACTGTATCACTCGTACACACATTGTTATCGAATACAAGCTTTTGAATACAAATTCTTATTAATACCTAAATTTCTTTTTTTCATTAAGCAAGTAGAGACAATACAAAATTATAGATTCAGTGCTCGCAAATTTACGTTACATAGAGGATTATTACCACCCGGCAGCTTTTGGACGATGCAGCAGCGAAGATAACCGCACGATGTCGAAAGGATTCGTTCAACACAAATTTGAGCTCGGAGGATCGTTACATGGAAGATCCAGCAGATGATGTAAATCTTAAGCGACGCAAAGTCACGCTGCATATCTACTACTAGGCAACCCACCACCTAACCATCGTTTTTCTCCAGCCACGCCCATGCAAATAATTATACACATATATATACACATATATCTTATGTATATATACATATATAGTTTTAAGAGGGATTGTAAACGGATTTATAAACGTAATTTATAAGAATTTTGTTATACGTAATTTAGTAATTAAGTATATAACTTGGAAATTATTCTATTTGTCCGTAGCGAAGAATTCAGGTTGGCGCGACAAAACGTGTGCTGACATCTATCAAAAGAGGCAGGAACAGCGACTTGGAGAATGTCTGGACAGATGGCGCCACGTGATTTGTGCCAAGGTAGAATCGCTGGGTGGTGCGACAAAACGTGTGCTGACATCTATCAAAAGAGGCAGGAACAGCGACTTGGAGAATGCGAGGACAGATGGCGCCACGTGATTTGGCCGGAGGTAGAATCGCTGGGTTGCGTGACAAAACGTGTGCTGACATCTATCAAAAGAGGCAGGAACAGCGACTTGGAGAATGCGAGGACAGATGGCGCCACGTGATTTGGCCGGAGGTAGAATCGCTGGGTTGCGTGACAAAACGTGTGCTGACATCTATCAAAAGAGGCAGGAACAGCGACTTGGAGAATGCGAGGACAGATGGCGCCACGTGATTTGGCCGGAGGTAGAATCGCTGGGTTGCGTGACAAAACGTGTGCTGACATCTATCAAAAGAGGCAGGAACAGCGACTTGGAGAATGCGAGGACAGATGGCGCCACGTGATTTGGCCGGAGGTAGAATCGCTGGGTTGCGTGACAAAACGTGTGCTGACATCTATCAAAAGAGGCAGGAACAGCGACTTGGACAATGTTTGGACAGATGGCGCCACATGATTTGTCCGGAGGTAGAATCGCTGGGTGGTGCGTCAAACCGTGTGCTGACATCTATCAAAAGAGGCAGGAACAGCGACTTGGAGAATGTTTGGACAGATGGCGCCACATGGTTTGTCTGTAGAGAGGATCGCAGGGTGGTGCGACAAAACGTGTGCTGACATCTATCAAAAGAGGCAGGAACAGCGACTTGGAGAATGTTTGGACAGATGGCGCCACATGGTTTGTCTGTAGAGAGGATCGCAGGGTGGTGCGACAAAACGTGTGCTGACATCTATCAAAAGAGGCAGGAACAGCGACTTGGAGAATGTTTGGACAGATGGCGCCACATGGTTTGTCTGTAGAGAGGATCGCAGGGTGGTGCGACAAAACGTGTGCTGACATCTATCAAAAGAGGCAGGAACAGCGACTTGGAGAATGTTTGGACAGATGGCGCCACATGGTTTGTCTGTAGAGAGGATCGCAGGGTGGTGCGACAAAACGTGTGCTGACATCTATCAAAAGAGGCAGGAACAGCGACTTGGAGAATGTTTGGACAGATGGCGCCACATGGTTTGTCTGTAGAGAGGATCGCAGGGTGGTGCGACAAAACGTGTGCTGACATCTATCAAAAGAGGCAGGAACAGCGACTTGGAGAATGTTTGGACAGATGGCGCCACATGGTTTGTCTGTAGAGAGGATCGCAGGGTGGTGCGACAAAACGTGTGCTGACATCTATCAAAAGAGGCAGGAACAGCGACTTGGAGAATGTCTGGACAGATGGCGCCACGTGATTTGTGCCAAGGTAGAATCGCTGGGTGGTGCGACAAAACGTGTGCTGACATCTATCAAAAGAGGCAGGAACAGCGACTTGGAGAATGTCTGGACAGATGGCGCCACGTGATTTGTGCCAAGGTAGAATCGCTGGGTGGTGCGACAAAACGTGTGCTGACATCTATCAAAAGAGGCAGGAACAGCGACTTGGAGAATGTCTGGACAGATGGCGCCACGTGATTTGTCCGGAGGTAGAATCGCTGGGTGGTGCGACAAAACGTGTGCTGACATCTATCAAAAGAGGCAGGAACAGCGACTTGGAGAATGCGAGGACAGATGGCGCCACGTGATTTGGCCGGAGGTAGAATCGCTGGGTGGTGCGACAAAACTTGTGCTGACATCTATCAAAAGAGGCAGGAACAGCGACTTGGAGAATGTTTGGACAGATGGCGCCACGTGATTTGTGCGGAGGTAGAATCGCCGGGTGGTGCGACAAAACGTGTACTGACATCTATCAAAAGAGGCAGGAACAGCGACTTGGAGAATGCGAGGACAGATGGCGCCACGTGATTTGGCCGGAGGTAGAATCGCTGGGTTGCGTGACAAAACGTGTGCTGACATCTATCAAAAGAGGCAGGAACAGCGACTTGGACAATGTTTGGACAGATGGCACTATATGGTTTATCCATAGACAGAGAAAGCAGTTACGTTTAAAAAGGACGCGTAATTTCGCGATAAGAGTAAGCAGTAGTGTGCAACATGTGTAAGTATATAAATCAATTGCATCTTTGAGATGCATCGATCGCGATCCTATCATATACAAAATCATTACCATGTCAACAAAACAATTACCACGCCAACAAAATCTTCATCGCATCAACAAAATAATCACCACGTAAAAAAACAATCACAAAATCGATTATAGTTAACGCTAAATAATTGTAATTACTTATAATTCATTATGTTCCGACTTTTACAATTATGTTCAAGAATTAACTATTTATCGATTGAATTTCAGCAGTTACACGTTGATCCTTACGCTTGTATTTCATTTTTTAATCATTCTCGTATTTAAGCATCCGCAGCGTTGTTCATCCTGTCGTAATACGTATCGAGAATATGTGCCTTGCAAATACGAAGTTAAACGAGTTTAAAGAAATAGGATGAACAGAAAATTTGCGTGCGTTAACGAGCGACGCAAATATGGAACGTAAATAACGATAAACGCATAATGAATCAATGGCGATATTTAATCATGCCACTTTGTGCAGTTGGAAAATGGGTCAGTGAGTCTGTAACAGATACACCGTTTAATTATGTATGGCAATTAGTCTTAACGCGCGCCCGATAAAACGCCACCGAAATTAAACTCGTTAATGAGACGTGCTTTTCTCTCCAGAGAAATATCGTTACGGAATTACGCGCGTCCCAAGTAAATAAATACGAGTAAATCCTTCGTCGCAGGAAGTACGAAACACTTCGTTCGATAAGTTTATCGCGCAACCGAAATTAAATCGGACAAGCAGAAGAAAAGAGAAAACTGTTTAAACGGTATCCGTGATTAGCGATGATATCGAACGAGGTTCGAGGTCGTTCGTGTATTCTTTTTCCCGTCAATAATAAGTGTAATTATATTTATTACTGATTTTCCCTTGAAGTTTGCACGCTCCCATTAAATGGCGATTTATCGTCCGTTTCGAAACTGCAAGACTTAAATAACAGTTCTCATCATTTACGCTTGAAAAAAGAAAACATTGAGCAACCTCGATCGCAACTTCATAATGTGGATCATTGATTACGAAATCAATCGTAATTGGAGAAATGACCGATCCAACGGCCTCCTTCTTTCTTTTCATTCTTTATTTTAATATCGTTCTGGCGAAAACAATATCAATCTCAATGAATAATAACGTTACAGGACGATAAGACGGCACGTTTAACGGAGAATATCGAATCGACTCCGTATTATTAAGAGGAAAAAGTACCGACAAGCACGCCGATGATAAATATTTTCTACCATACCATACGTTAATAATTACATAAACAAATTATCACCTACTACTCGGTTACTTCGTAATCGTCTTTCCAATAAGCGAAATATCGCATCTATCGGCTGACGAATCCGAGCTTCGCGGTGGTAGCTGCGATCTTTCGGAATTACGCTAGGCTGCGTCTAACGGTAACGGTACGTACGCCCCGCGCTCCTCTTTAACCGTGGAATCCTCGCGAGGGGAACGATCCCTCTTCTTTAAAAAAGAAAAAAAAAAGAAGGAAAAAAAAGAATACTAGGAAAAGGAAGGCGACGTTTTTCGAAGTAGATGCATCGACCCTCGGTCTCGGGGGTAAATGTTTGCCAAGAGCCGAGGTCAGAGTCAAGGTCGTACACGTGTCGAGGGGACCGAATCGGTGGCCCAGCGGAACACACGTGCACCCCCACTTCCTTGCAGGCAGACAGTGGGACTGCAGGTAGATCGGGAAAACGCTTTTGAACAGTCGATTGCTCGATTCTAGACGGACGTGCGTCCGTAAATCGATCGATCGGTCTGTCGCGCTCAAAGTCAAGGACTACGGCCGTCGTCGACTAATGGAAATGCGTTTCATTCGTAATGTTTCCTATTGCGTACGTATAGTTTTGTTGGTGTAACGTTCAAACGAATCACGCTTCCAGAATGTACACCGTAATCTTCTTCAGATTTCGACAAATTTCATTCGAAACGAAGTTCAAAGATAACGGCTTGGAAATACCCGGTTTATTGCCTTTACATCAGCAACAATATAGCAGAGTAATTCCACCGAATATAGAGCAGCGAATAATTCGGATCTTAATGTCGTTCCTTTGAATTTCGACCAGCGTATTTTCTATAGGTGAGTTTAAGTCGCGAATAACGTAGAATCATCGCGTAACGCGACAGAATTCCACCGAATTACCTCGATTTCGGTTACCTTTGGACGAATTTACGCGCCACAGATCCCCGAGGAGGCGTGCGTTTCTAACGTAGGTAGTTAACGATCGACCCGACAGAATCGGTTCATTCGAATGCAAATCATCGATACGCGGTGCGTTTAATCATCTCGAAATTACATTTAGCCATTATTTAAATCACGTTTTTACCAATGCCTGTTTGTTTAAATAATGCTCAGATTGAAATGATTATACCACGTATGTGCGTACCGAACGTTATACATTTAACGTAAAAACGATGCTTTCGATTAATTATCGCAGCTTCGATAACTATCGTTGTAATTATGATATATAGTTTACCACGTACACGTAAGTACGCGAGAAGAAAAACTGCAATCCTTTTTGGTACACCATGATACTTCTTTTTAACGTTTCGAAATGTATCTCTATCGCTGTAACCTTTG